TGTATCAAAAATTATAGGGTCCACTAAAACAAAACAAGCCTTTTAGATTCAGATGAGGGCATGCCAGCTTTCCTTTTCTGCCTTCCAGAGGAAGTGCTAGACTGCAGGAGGGACACACAGCCCTCTGCTTCCTGTCATTTTCTGCTGAGGTGGTGTTGATGTCCTGGGAAAGAGACTGAAGAGACTTCTCACCACTGTCATTCTGCCTGATTCTTTTCTTTGTGTATGTGATCTCCACTCTCCTCAAGGAGCCATTGTCTTCACTGTTTACAGTATGAGGCCCTGTTTTTATTTTTCATTCCTTGTCTTTGAATTTTGCAAACACATGTGCTGTTGTTTACATCATATCAATCATTATTCTGTAATGCTACTTACTTGTCCATTCTGTTTGTACAAATTAGTGTGGAAACCATTGAAGGCTAGGACCTAACCCAAGTTGTACACTGGCTAGTGGGTGCTGGTTTTAAACATGGCCTTCAGTCCTTGGATAAAGCTAAGAAAGAAATTTGGGAGCATAATAGTGAAAACTATAAACAGTTAACATCTGATGTTTACATAGTGATCTCTGTGGATGGGATGTGTCCCAGGTGATTCTTACTGAAGCACATGAGGGCAGATGCTGTCGTCATTAATCATCACATTTTTCTAGATAAGGAAACTGATACTCAAAGGTTACAGACCTTACGTAAGGCCACACAGCTAGGAGTAACCCAGCTTGGGTACGTTCTAACTCTAAAGCTGTGTACTCTACCAATAAGCTATATTGCTTTTTACTTTCTTTCATGTAATAGTGCCAGACCACAGGCCTAAGGACGCCCCCTTAGGGCATTTCCCATTCTATGGAATATAAACAGCTGAGTTCATGGTTATATGTTGATAGGTTGTCTCTCTGAGTTTTCAGTGATATCTACTCTTTTCTACCTTGCCCTGGGAGTTGTACTCAGACCCCTTGTTCCTTTTGGAAATCTGGCTGTCACTTGCAGCTGTTTTTGGATATAGGCTCCAAACTAAATTCTCTGCCTGCAGCTAGTCAAAATGGCCATCTCAACCCCCATAAACCAGAGTAGGAGGCTCCTGTAGGCAACTTACATTTTCCTGCTCCTTCGAAGGGGCCATAGGTTTCAAAGGAAAAATGTAGCTTCAAGGCCTGATCCAGCCTGCTCTGATTGTAGCATTTAGTAATAGAATTGCCATGCGGTTCCTAGCTACTTGCCAAGTCTCTTCCCACTTACTGCTTTTCCTTTTCCATCCTTCACCGTCTTCTTTCCCAGGCGTGGCAGCCTGCTCTTGTATGGGAAAGGCTTCTTCCAGTCAGACTTCCTTGTGCTACTTTTTTTTTTTTTTAGCTTTGTGATCTTGATCAGGTTATTTAATATTTTACCACCTGTAAAATATAGAAAATGTTACATATTTTGCAGGGTCAAAAATATTAGAGACACTGCTTATAAAGCCCTTGGCACAGAGTAGGCCCTCATAACCATGAACTCCTTCTTTTCCTAGAATCTGGTGATAAAATGTTTGGGTTTGTTGTTGTTGTTTGGTTTATTGGGGTTTTTTCTGGGAGGGGGTGATTGAGACAGGGTCTCGTTACATAGCCCAGGGTAGCCTGGAGTCACAATCCTTCCTGCATTAGCTTCCCAGGTGCTGGAATTATAGGCACATGTCATCATGCCTTGCTTATTGATATATCATTTTGTCGGGCAAATACTGATTATTGTCTAATCTGTACTAGACTCTGTTGAGGACACTGATCAGATTTTTTTAAAAATATCCTCTGAATTCAGAAATTGCATGGTGTAGAAAGGAGAATCACATATAAATGAATCAGAATAGAAGTGCACTAAATGCACTGGAGGTATGTATAAAGTGCTAGAAGCAATTCTTTTTTTTTCCAGCCCTGTCCATAGAGTGGTTTCCAAGTTGTTTTTTTTTTTTTCTTTTAAAAAGACTTGCTAGTCAGGATGGGGGACAAATAGAAAGAGGGGGAAAAAAGAAAACCCTGAAATGAATCAGTAATCTTTGAGGTGCCAACCTTTCAAGAACTGATTCCAGCAAAGCACTTGATAAAAATCTCTCATGAATAAAATAAGAACAAAACTCTCTCATGGAACTCTTATACATAGATGGAGAAGTGTGGGTTGTAGGAAGATTTGAAGCTGGTTTTGCAACTATGTCCTGAAGTTTTTCTTATAAAATCTCTGTTAGAAGGAATCTTAAAAACAGGTCTTCTAAAATTATCTATCATCTGGTCTACCCCACTACACTGCTTTTCTTTCTTCCTTTTTTTTTGGTGGTACTGGGGTTTGAACTCAGGTCCTTGATGCGTGCTCTACCACTTGGGCACCCCCCCCGCCAGCCCTTTTTGCTTTTTTTTTTTTTTCCATATAGGGTCTCAACACTTTTTGCCCAGACCAGCTTCAGATCATGATGTTCCTACCTAGGTTTCCAGTATAGCTGGGATTAGAGGTATACACCATGGTGTCTAGCTTTTTTCTTGAGATGGGGTCCTGCTAACTTTTTGCTGAGGCTGGGCTCAGCCATGTTCCTCCTATCTCTACCTCCTGAGTGAGCCATTGCCCTCCCCAACCCTTTTTAATTTTTAATTCAACATTACAAAAAACTATATAGTGGAAAAACATGCTTCCTTCCTCTTCCCGTCCTCTAGTATCCATTTCATACTCCCCATAGGCAAGCATATTATTTATTAGTTACTCATGTATTTTGTTTTATTATGCATATCTCTTTATGTCTGTGTTACAGTTGTTTCAGTGCTTGGGCCATCTCCTTTTAAGTAAACTGTAAGCTCTTTAAGAGCAAGAACCCTGCCTTGTATTTCCTATATCTCCTCAAATTACTTGCACATGAACAATTATAATTATTGAGTCATTATTTAAAGGAATGTTGGACCAGGGAGAAGACAGGTTTCTCTGATAACATGCCATAGTTTTCTGTCTGTGGCTGTCCCTTTTTCAACCATTTTTTCGCAGGTGATGGATAAAGCTATCAAAAGCATGCTTGTCACATATGCAGATGATACAATGGTGGCAAAGATCCAGTGACATCAAATGACAAAGTTAAGACTATGCATGAGGTCAGCATGCTGGATTGTTCACGTGAAAAGCACAGGGACAAACCAGGCATGGTGATACACCATGCAGATTTGAGGTCTGCTTGGGCTACATGGCAGGATCCAGACTCAAACAAAAAGAATAGAAACAAATATACAGTTGTACAGTTAGTGGGAGAGAAATACCCAACAACTTGTTACCCATAGCTTAAGAGACCTGCCTTGATGTTTCATTTGAAGGTGATTTGGGAGGGTAGGGCATGGATCTTCATTGCCTGAAAGTTGGTTGTATACCAGAATTGTCTGTAAAGCGAACGCGGCCTTTACTGAGCAGTAGAATGTGAATACAGATGGGATAGCTCATGGTTCTTCGGCTCTCTTTGCTGGTCAGACTGCGTGTGAGTGTTGGGTTCATTTTGTGGTGCCACATATGTAGAAAAACTGCCAAACTGTGGTGACCCTAGAAGATTACTAGGAAGGTAAAACATGGGTATGGGGTCAGATCTAGGTTCTTGTCCTGGTTTTATTATTTAGCAGTTGTAAAAGCTTGGTAAACGCAACCCTCTCATTTTGTTTTCATGCCTGTAAAATGGGAAAAAGTAATAACACCAAGCTGCTGGATCATCCTAAGGACTGGGCTAACACAGGTGCTTGAGTGCTCTGCAGCCCATCTTAACAGGGATCATTGGCCTGCTGACTGTGTACTCCCTCCTTTGAAGGGAATACATCTTAGTGGGACAGACAACCAAGCAGATCCAAGGTTATAGTGCAGCATCTTAAGAGGTCAGAGTTGACTTGTGGGAAAGGGGGCTAATACTGTTATGGCCCCCAGTCAGTGCTGATTGAGCCAGCTAACTGTATAGCAAGTTTTCCTAGGAGGAAGTCAGTTTTTCTCACAGTAGGATAAGAACATGTAATTGCTTATCGGAGTATTTATAGAAAGTATTTTTGTAAGAGTAGGAGGCTGGACTCAAAGGGTAGGCAAACTATGGCCAGCATGGGCCACATCCAACCAGGCGCCAGTTATTGTAAATAAAGTTTGACTGGAACTCAGATGTGCCCATTTGTTTATTTCATCTGTGGCTGGTTTCCTACTACAATGTGAGCTGAGTAGTTGTGATAGAGACCACATGGCCTACTGAACCTAAAATATCTACCCCCAGACCCACAGAAAGAGTTTGCTGACCCATGGATCAGATAAATAATTCACAACCTAAGTTATTTCATGAATTAGTAACCTTTCTAAATTCCCTGTTGGGGGGGTTTCAGGTATTAAGAGGAAGGAAGGAAGGAAGGGAAGGGAAGGTTTTTCTTATTATGGCAAGGAATAAAGATTGAAAAACATTTGATTAAATAACCTCCAAGGTTACTTAAAGAACTAGGGTTTTACAAAAAGTATCTTTTGGTGTGAGAAAGTATTTGCCCATCATCTGGGCCAAAATCTTCTCTATCCACTAGAAGTAGGCGTGGTCTCAGTGCTGTGGAAGACACTGGTTGTGTTAACTATTCCGAGGAGCAGTTCCCTCACTTATAAATGGAACATTTTGTAGACTTTTGTAAGGATTTGAGCTTGTGTAGTACTGAAATATGCTGCTGTTATTGTATCTCATGGAGTACCTCATTGGATTGTGTCATAGCAGCCAGTGCTTTGACTGGGAGAGGGTATTAAATAAATCCCTCCTGGATTGCTACAAGTTGGGGTAGTACATTAAAACCTTTCTTGGAGTGAACAAGGTCTTTAGACCTCATGGCTTAGCAAACACATGAATGTCTTGTGGCTGCTAGTTTTGATGCATGTGTTACAGTTGATATTTTCAGTACTAGAAAGGTTGGAGATTCCCCACAGAATAGAATTTTAAGCTTTGCTTCTTGCTATACATTTTGTCTTCTATATTTAGAGTCTACTGCCAGCTAACTTTTTTGGTTTTTTTAGTGTTGACTCGTAGACAAAGAGAGGCCAAGAGCAAGAATAACCATGGGACAGCTACACAGACTTCTCTGGACATTGACAAGTAAGTATGTGGTTCTGTGTTCATGAGCTCTTGCTGAACGTCTTGTTGATTGGACTGCACAGAGCCCAGTTTGTATCACCCTGTATTGCTCTGGGTCACTTTGTTGATCAAATGCCTGAATTTCTTTTTCTTATTCTCAGTCTATATCAGTGTATCTCTTTGATGTACACTAATCACAGTCAGATGAAGCTGATACCCATCCAATTCCACATTGCTGTTAAGTTTGTGTTTTCTTTAAGTTTATAAATTGGTGTTTGGGAAGCTTTTTTGGGAAGCACTGAGCATTTTGCTCTGTCATAATACAGAAGTTGAGTTGCGGGCTCAAATGGTAGAGCACTTGCCTGTCAAGTGCAAGGCCCTGAGTTCAAACCTCAGTAGCATTTTCCCTCCAAAAAAAGTTAGGTTACAAAAAAAGTTGAGCAAGCTAGAGAACTTCCTTGACTATGAAAGCCCATTGTTAATAAAGTAAGGAATAAGGTGTAGGTGCTGTCTCTTGGGAGCAAAGATATTACTAAGAAGCAGAAGCTTACAATAGTGAGCCTCTGGGCAGAAGCTTTTCAGGGTCTTTTCCTCTTTATTTTTAACTAATACTTGAAAATATAAAAATTACGCTTATTAGTGTGGCACCATGTGGTATTTTTATGCATGTATACATTGTATGATGTTTAAATCAGGTTACACATATCAAGCATTCATCATTTATATATGGTAAGAAATTCAAAACCATATTTCTTTGAAATAATACAGCACAGTATCTACATCACTCTACTGAACCCTACTTAGGCTGTTTCCATTTCTTGGTTGCAGTGAACGTGTCTCTGACATACTGATTTCATCTCTTTTGGATATATACCCAGTGGTGCTAGATCATATGGTAGTTCTACTTTCAGTGTTTTGAGGAGTGCCCCTCTGTTTTCCACAGTGGCTGTACTAATTTACATTCCCACCAATAGAAGGTTTGTTGTTTGTTTTTTTGGTAGAACTGGGGTTTGAACTCACAGCTATGCATTTGTAAAGCAGGCACTTTTACCAATTGAGCCTCACCTAGAGTCAGTCCCCACCAGTAGTGTTTAAGGGCTCCCTTTTCCCTTTCCTCCACATCCTCCCCAGCACTTGTTATCTTTTATTATTTTGGTGTGGGATGGTACCAGGGCTTGAACCCCAGGCCTCACACTTACTAGGCAGGCACTCTATTATTTGAGCCACTCTGCCAGCCCTTTTTATGTATTGGGTATTTTCAAGACAATCCAGTTGAACAGAGTTGATCAGTTCCTTTTTGAAGTTTAACTGCGTTATAGACATTCCTCTAGAATGACATTCCTTCCATTGTATTGTAGGGTTTTGTTTTGTTTTTAAACATTTCTGTGTCCCTGGCTAGTCTTTGAGTTACTTGAAGGTAGATACCTGCTTTTCATGTTTAAATTCCCACACTTTAGCTACTTAAGAGGTAGTGACCTGAAAGATTATGGTTCAAGCCCAGCCCAGGTAGAAAGTTTGAGAGACCCCCATCTCAACCAATAAAAGCTGGGCATGTGGCAGTGGGCATTTATTATCCTTAGCTATGTGGGAAACGTAAGTAGGAGGATTATGTTCCTATTTCAAAAATAACTAAAGTAAAAAGGGCTAGCTGTGTGGCTCAAATGGTATAGCACCTGCCTAGCAAGCATAAAGCCTTGAGTTCAAATTCCAGTACCACACCTGCCAAAAAATCCCAGCATCTAATAAAATGTGTCTGAGACCTTCTTAACAATATTAGCTGTTTATTGAGCACCTAATTCTATGAGCCAGCCATTATTCTAAGTTCTTTATAACTCTTAATAGTGAATATGGTATAGTCCTTTTTTGTTTAAATAAAGAAATGAAGAGAAATTATATGTAACTAAGGTCATATGGCCAGAAGTGGCAAAGCCTACCCAACTGTAAAAGCCCTGTTTCTTCCAATGCTGCTGTCTCTCTAGAGGGAATTAATCCGTGCTTTCTTCATTGATTGGTAAACCTTGAAAGGTATACTATCCAGCTTTCCTCATAAGGCGGGGTTTTGCTTACATTCTTCCAGATAATTAAGTTCTTGAGAGACTTATTTCTCTATTTTAATGACCTCCAGAGATATTCTTCCTTGGAGTTAATCTCTTGTAGTTACTTTATAGTAATCACTGAAAAGAGAAGTTAGCATGCTTTGGGAAGTTTTCTTCAGCTTTCTAAAGCTAAGTGATCTTACATATCATGTTCATCAGTGGGTTCTGAGAATTATTCGCTACAGGACCTTGGGGAGAATAGTTCTTTCCTAATAGGGCTGAAGAACTAATTGAGAAATTATGTTTAATGGGCCTTCTACAGTACCGACCACAGAGAAAGTAGTTCATTCTTTTCCTTTCCCCGTAACATTGGCCATTTTCACCAGTAAACCTTATTTCAAGGACGCTCTTTCTTCTCTTTCCCCAAACTATGTTGCTATAAAAAGAAAAAATATTATGCATGTGAAATTATGTAAAAACCCCTGGAAGAGCCCCATGTTTTAGTAACTTCCTATATGATGTTGCAGGCTGTAGAATTAAAGAAATTAGCATATAGACAGACTTGATTTACTAATCAGACAAGTTCATCCACCATGGTAAAAATGTTATCTTGCTTTAATCCTCTTGTGCGCCCTTTCCTGTTGAAATTTTAACTTCTCTTTGAAAAATGATTACACTTAATTTCAGAAGAGTTTGACAGAATATTTTATGTCTGGGGAGCAATCAGCATTGTTTGAAATAGTTAGAAGAGCTGATTTCATTACCATCCCACTGCTACAACAGCAGGATTCAGAGAAACAGTCAGGGAAAACTGCTAATCACTCAGCCCTTTTGATTGGCATTGGGTTAGTTTTATTGGTGATCCTGCTGAGCAAATCTGCATTGGTTGACATGTCTCCTCTGTAGAGTAACATTGACACACGTGCAGGAGCCCAGAGGCAAGAGCAAATCTTAAATCTTCTTTTTCTTCTTCTCTTGTGATTTGGCCAGGAATGAGAAATGTTATATCTGCAAATCCCTGGTTCCACTCAGAGAATATCAGTGTCATGTAGACTCCTGCCTACAGTTTGCAAGGGGTGACCAAAGAGATGGGCCTGAAAGGAGTGGCAGAGCATATCCAACTGCGCAAGGAAAGCGACCGCAGCGACCGAGGAACCCAAAGGTATGTGCACAGTGCTTTGGGGAAGGCTACCTAACCTTCCTCAATTCTAAGCAGGCCACAATTCTATTCTGGTTTTCTTCTTTTTTTTTTTTTTACTTTTTCCCTCCCCTCTTCTCCCCTTCCTTCCATTCTGTTTGTCTTGATATAAGATTTGTACTTTTTAAAGCTATATTTTCTTTTAATTTTAAAAGTAATACATGCTCATCATAGAAAGAAATGGAAAGTCCAAAACAAATACAAAGAATCAAGGGAAATGTCACCAATAATTTAGCTCAGTGACAATAGCTTTTAATATTTAGGCCTGTTTTCTTCCAGACTTTTCTCCTGTGCATTTGAATGTAGTTCATTCTCATTCTCCCTTTCTCTTGCTCTGTTTCTCTATGTGTACACATACTAGGTACAGTACGGTACTGTATATATATGCTTTATACTATATTACATAAGTGTTACATAAAGCATAATTTTTCTATCTTGGATTTATAAAAACTTAGATGTAGCATAAACATCTTTCTGAGTTTATTTTTAGACTTTTTAAAAAAAATTACTGTTAGTGTTTGAATTATGTAGGTGATCACTTAACCATTGTCATATTGACAGTTAGGTTTCTTCCCTAATCCTTCTGTATTATAAGACTGTTTTAAACATTGATTTGCTTTGTACCACCAATCATTTCCTTAGTATCGATTTCCTACAGTGGAACTATCAGGCCTATGGATATGAACATTTTAAAGTCTTTTGAAATGTACTGTTTCAAAACACATATGAGATCAACTGTGTTGAATTCCTTGTGTGCTCAGCCATGGCAATCTACATGTATGACCCTGATCACTGGGAACATGGATGTACTTTCTGGGCCTTTTGATGAGGAATAAAGAAGAACAAGTCTTGGTTTAGAGAGTAAAGATAAAGCAGCAGCCCCGTGTTCTGGGACAACTATCATAGCAGTCACTACACACACTAAATGGGGAGACCATGTTCTGTCACATCAGCAGAAGGGGCCCTCTCCATGAATGGGATGATTTGGAATTGAGGTTTATAGGCAAGTGCTTACTTATACCAAAGAGCCTGTTTATTCACTTAGACATCACTGCCTGTAGAAACCACCTCAAAACTGTTGTTTTGTATTTTATTTCATTTTATTTAAATTTGTGGTACTGGAGTTTGAACTCAGTCCTTCACCTTGAGCCTCCCCACCAGCCCTTTTTTCTGAAGGGTTTTCTGAGATAGGGTCTCCCGAATATTTCCCTGGGCTGGCTTTGAATAGCGATCCTCCTAATCTCTGCCTCCTGAGTAGCTAGGATTACAGGCATGAGTCACTGGCACCCAGTTCTGTTTTGTATTTTAAATCTTCCCAAAATCAGAGGCTGCTGTTCTTTGAAATAATTTTGGTGGACTGGATTGGCTTGATGCTGGTATCTATCCTTGGGTTATATTCTTGGCATAGAGATATATTTTTTGCATTATAGTTTGCCTTTTTCCTTGCTTACCTTCATTTATTAGACAGCAGAAGATTTCCCTAGAGTTGTGCCACTGCACCTCTTTTCTTCTGGAAAAAAAGGTGTGATCTATGCTAAGGCAGTTGTATTTTAGATTCTGCCATGAAATAACCCATTCGTCTATTTTTCTCTGCCACAGGAAAAAGGCCACAATGAAGGCCGACTCCTCAGTTTTTTGGAACAGTCTGAGCACAAGACTACAGGTGAGGACTCAAGGACCATTTTTCTGGGCTTCTAAGGCCTTCCAATGGAGATAGACACTGTTAGCCCCCTACTGTTTATTGGGATTATTATAAGTGTACTTTTGGCCTAATCAGTCAGCTTTTGAGACTCAGTCTGGGTCATCTTCTTAAGGAAGATGCGGACATACTCTGTCTTAATGTCATCATGTATTTCAGGACTGCCTGTTGAACCGTGAGGGGAAAAAAAAAATTCCAAATCACAGGGGCATAATACAGCCCCAAGTAGACCTTCTGAAAGGAACAAATGTGGAAAACAATACATGCAAACATTACTGTCTCCTCCTGATATTTTGTGTGTCATTCATGTGTTACCTTTAGCCTAGTGTCCCAACCTGTGTTCCTGAGGATTATACGAAGTGACTCCTCTTTGTGCCTACTATTTAGGGAGCATTAGAGTGGGTAGGTCAAAAGCATATACCAACTTTACAGATTACAAAGATTGTATTTAGTAAAGCTCTAAATACAAATAAATGTTAGCTGCTATTCTTACTGTCATTGCTCTTATTAAAATTTACCACATGCAAATGAAAGAGGAACTCTTGCTGGAGCCTGGTGAGATTTGCTTCCATCTAGTTCTAAAAGTTCATTCCCACCAAGCAAATCTGTTGTGCCTTACATCCTGCTGCCTTTAGATACAAAGTCGTGAGTCTCTCTGCAGGCGGCAGATTTCCCCTGGCAGCTCTTTACTGCTCAAGTCCAGATTTGAAGTAGATTCATTCACAAGTGTTCACCTTGCTGTTTCTGCAGCTGAGCCTATTGGATGCTGATGCTCACATTCCATTGGTTTGAGGAATAGGCCTGATGAAAACAGTGTGTAGAACACAAGAAGTATCAGTTCAGTGAGAAGTGGTATGATTACCAATATTGTTACTTTTTCTCACCTGTCACAGATGCAGAGATAAAGACAAAGTCTTCAGAAACAGTAACCTTCAGGTAAGTTGGAGTGTGCACTAAGGTGTAGCTGTCAGCAGTTCTGAAAGGTGCAGGTCTGGTCCTGGGTTCTTTGTATAGTGTGATAGTTAAACTGTTAAATAGAAATGTGATATCTCTCTCTCTCTCTCTCTCTCTCTTTAACTCTGGTGTATCTGGGTTAAGAATTGGGCAGGTAGTTCCATTCACTGGTGGTGTTACAGCAAGTAGAGCAGAAGCTATGTTTTATTCCTCTGTGCTTTTCTATCCAATCTGCCTCTGATCTTCTGACCCAGATCTCGGGCAGCTTAGGAATTTAGGTCTGTGTCAGTCCTCTTTCTGTCAGTGCCTAACTGTGTGGCTTTAGGTTATATGATTTACCCAGTGCCCTCCTCTGTAGCAGCAGAGGAGGTTGAATTACCACAAAGATTATGCGTACAATATATTTTAAGGGTCCTGGTATAATGCACAGCACACACGTGGAGCTTAGTAGGTGAGGAGTAAAACTGAATTTCCCCTTTCTTTTAGGTTGCCTTCACTTGGAGTGGAAGAGGCAGGTTGCAGCAGAGAGATACAGAGTTCTGTCACACAGCTCAACTTAAATGAGTCTCCCATCAAGTCTTTTGTTTCTATCTCAGAAGCCACAGATTGCTTAGTGGACTTCAAAAAGCAGCTTACTGTCCGGCCAGGTAGCCGGACACGAGCCAAAGCAGGCAGAGGAAGGAGGAGAAAATCCTGAATTCCTAGGCTCCTAAGGTTGACAAAGCATTAGTAATAGGGGTGGGCCATATTCATTAAGCCTTAGTGGCCTTCAGTTCATTGTTGGGCAAGTTTTCACCCTACAGTTTTCACCACCAGCACCTACTCAGCATCCTGGTTTTTATGTTTTGTATTATCTATACAGACAACTGTGTATAGTATTCTGTTTTATAACAGTCTGTTCAAATTTACTTAGGTTAAAAGAAAACAAATATATTTATCTATGTTTGTATGAAATCTTATTTCAATAGGTGGGGATTTTCCTTTTTTCCTCTATGTTGTGGAGTTTGGGGTTGGGATTTTTAATTGTAGAAGTGGTTTTCAGACTCATAAATTATGTTTCTGAATGAATTTAATTACTACTCTTTGACACACCACTTATATTCACTTAATCTGTACTACACAATTCTGAACACTGTATGGTTGCTCCCTTAACTGTTTGGGCATTCAATCCCACTACTGATTCTGTTGTCCCTTCCATTCGGTGATCTGTAACTTCATCTTGTCCTACCCAGTTAAGAATTCTCAGCCAGAGTCTAGGACTTTAAGAGATGTGTCCTGCATTCTTCCTAGGGGGTTATAAGTGAGCACTCTGGTGTTAGTTCCTATGCAGTTGTTTTTTCAACATACATTAGCCAGTGGGGATACCAAGCAGAGTCATCTTTTCAAACCAAGATCGGTTCTCTTGCCAAATGTCACAGTGGTAAAGCAACTTCTGTTTCAGTAACATTACTAAAATAAGGTACACTGTCAACCAAGTTGCCTGGGAGCTTTCAGCACAGATTAGAGATGTGGTCTGTCCTCAGTGCCTGGGCAGACTCCAAACACAAGATGCTGCCAAATGACAGAAGTAATTACCTAAGGGGAACCATCAAACAGGGGTGCTGTGAAAGTTAGCTTTGGCCCCACTTGATTGAAGTTTTTTTCTTTTTTGGTTGTTCTGGGGTTTGAACTCATAGTGCTTACTATACAGGCGTTCTGCCACTTGAGCCATGCCTCCAGTCCCTGATTGAAGTATTAATGAAACACTGTGGAAGGTAACTGTTGACCAGGAAAGGATCTTGGACGAGGATAAATCTGCAGACTCTTCTAACTTCTGATTTATCATGTCTAAAGTTACCTTTTATTTTAAAAGGAAAATGAGATGTGTGTTAGACTGGGGAGTTCACAGGTAGCTGCAATGTAAGACCCAGCACAGGCACTAAGGCACTGTGTCCTGTCTAGGGCCTTTTGTACAAGCTCTTTGAGTAAAGAGTCAAGATGGCAGGCTCTTGTCTGTTCCTTCCATAGATGATGTCTAGCTATTGGATGGAGCTGACATTATAGCCAGTATCACATATATAATAGCTGTTACTTTTTGAGCAACTGCTGAGGTCCAAGTAATATATGTACCTTCATTTACTCATAACAACCTTTAAGAAGTAGGTATTATAATCATTTTCAGATGAGGAAAGAAATGCTCAGAAGAACAAATAAAGTAGTGAAACCACAGTGTCCCTACTAAAGAAAGTGCTACATTTTGACTCTTAGCACTAATGGTTTTCCTTCTAAGGAAAAATAGTTTGTCAGATATGTCCTACCAACTTAAGGTTTGCTCATCTCTCCTGTCATTAAATGGCAATTTATTGGAAGTAGACCTCTATTAATAGGGAATAGTGGTTTATTTCTGTCTGAAGATACGAACAGAAAGTGCTGCTTCAAAAACATGAATTACTTAGCTTAACGTTGAGCAGTAGTGTGGTTCTTCTGAAAGATGGGAAGCAGCTTATACTGCTAGTGTTGCCAACTTGTAAGACCAGGAGGTCTATGAACTTCATAAGCTGTTGTTATAAATTGGGGAAGAGATAGGGACTTCTGTGTGTCTAACACAGCATTGTAGCTGTTACTTCATTTCATCCTTACAACAGTCCTCCAGCAGAGGCTGTGGCTAGCCCACTTCCCCTGAGCACTGTGCTCCATACCCACAAATTCCTATTGTAAGTACCTATGACTCTACCTAAGGATTTCTCTTTCCACAACTTGGAGGTGTCAAGGAGGTAGTGCCCCGGGGAAGCTGTCAGCCAGTAAAAATGGAAGTTGGAAGATAAATAGCCCATCTCCACCCTTCAAGTGTAATAACTGAGGCACATTCTGTGCTTCAGGGAGCGCCTGTTGGATTGGACCTCAGTAGCTCCCATATGCAGTAATGGCTTCTTTCCCTTGCTACCTTGCTTCACATTCCCCTTTCAGGACCAGGACTGGTAAGGGGCCTCACTCTTGGTTTCATGTAAATGCAGGGTTAACACTTACATGAACTGGTGAGGGTCTCTTTATGCTCTGCTTCCTAGGCATCTCACTTGAATCATCCTAATCCTGACCCTCTCCTGGGTCCTTCCCAAAGAAAGTATTTCCATTCAAGTTAGGTCTACTTCTGGAGGGCTCCAACCCAGAAATAAATCCTTTGGTCTACTTTAAAAACATACTTGAAGGGTTGAGTCCTCTCAGAAGTAGACTTGAGGAGTCCTGGCAGTGGTGGTCTGGGGCACATCCTCACCCTGGCTGGAGAGACTACCAATGCTGCCATCAGCGTGAACCACAGCTGGGCCTTTCACATTCAATTCCGTTTTCTCCCTCAACTGAGCAAAGTCAAAAGACTGGAACCCAGGCTATGTTGATGGTGACAGCCAGTCTGCCTTCCCCAGTGCCATCCCCCTCACTTCTCTGTCAGAGTCTATATGCCTGGTTGGTACCCAGAAAGCCACAGCAGGGCTAGTGTCTGCCATGTTATAGACCTAGAGCAAATACTATGGAGGAAATAATGATTTATATATGGAAAACCAAGACTTGCGGAAGTGGAAGGTGTTGATCAAGTAACTGGAAAATGGGATGGAATTCAACCAGAGTTCATGCTGTCTATGCTGTACTACTTCCTACTTGCCACAAAATTGATGACTCCATAGAAATTTGAGGCTTGGATAGGCTCATTCTTTCACTTTCTTTTTTTTTTTTTTAAATGGTACTGGAGTTTGAACTCAGCATTGTGCTTGTGAAGCACAGTGAGTCATACCTCCAGTCCATTTTGCTCTGGTTATTTTGGAGATGGGGTCTTGTGAACTATTTGCCCAGGTTGGCCTTGAATTGCAATCTTCCCAATCTAACCTTCCCAAATAACTAGGATTACAGGCGTAGCCATTGGCACCCAGTAATAAGCTCATTCTTGCCTATGAGGCAGGGCAGTTGATTTTAGCCAATGGGAATTTTTTTCTAGGGGGAGAGTTTGGTAGTACTAGTGGGAAGATGGAAGAGTGTAGACACTTGAGTGGAAAGTGCCAAAACCATATGCACCAGGAAGGCAAGAAGAGGTTACTTACTTCCTCTCCATTTCAAAAGCCCTGAACATTATGGTTGTAGGATGGGCCCTTTAACAAAAACTAACTACATCAGGTCTAGAACCTGGTTCTGAAGCTCCAATGGTGAATAAAAAATTGGGAGCCCCACAGTATTAGCAGGTAAAATGAACACATAAACAGATGATATTAGCAAACTTGTAAATACAGTGATACTAGCAAATCCAAGATGCTAGGGATTAGGAGGCAGCCTCCCAGCCGTGGCCAGGTCTGGGAAAAGTTTGTCAGGGAAGGCTTCCCACCGCTGCTGCTGCCACTGCTGGCTGAGCTGTAAATGTAACAAATGGGGAAAATTGGGTGAAAAGGCTGGAGACGCTAAAGGGGGAGTCATGCCAGACAAATCAGCAGGAACAAATATACAACAGAAGCAGCCTTATGCCTGTAGAAGGGCTGCAAGGCATATCCAGAGTATAAAGGTGTGAGGGCTGTTTGGGGAGTCTGTGTACCTGGCTGCAGGCAGGTACAGAGTAGGAAGGCTCTGGCCTCCCAGCCGAGCAGTGGTAGCCCAGCTCTGCTGTGCTTACCTCTCCACCTTCTACTGTTCCTTCTGAATCGCTAAAGATTGCACTAAGGGGCTCTGAGGCAACCTTGTCAAGACTTGTCCTTCCCCTTGTTGGTCGGTAGCCATCTGGTGTCTGCCCGAGTACTGCTGGCACCTGCTGTGCCTCTGCTATAGCCAGCACTGTCCAAGCTGCTCTTGGACCTGAACACCAGCTAGTCTCTCTCCATTGGCCTTGACACAGATCATCCCTAGCACTGTGACTATGGGGCCAGGGCACCCACTTCCTTGTGAAATGGACACAGGGCTTCCAGAAACACAAGGAGTCCTGGCAATGGTGGTCTGGGGCACATCCTCACCCTGGCTGGAGAGACTACCGATGCTGCCATCAGCGTGAACCACAGCTGAGCCTTTCACATTCAGTTCCGTTTTCTCCCTCAACTGAGCAAAGTCAAGAGACTGGAACCCAGGCTATGTTGAGGGTGACAGGCAGTCTGCCTTCCCCAGTGCCATCCCTCACTTCTCTGTCAGAGCCTGTATGCCTGGTTGGTACCCAGAAAGCCACAGCAGGGCTGTTGTCTAACATATTTCCAGGCCTAATCATGACAAAGCTGATAGAAGAGCCATATCCCTGGTCTCTCCACCCTGGTGCAGTGGAGGCTTTGTACTATTTGGATAATGGTAGGGTTATTGCTAGCGAGGTAGCCTAAAGTTTTAAAGGTTCTGCCCACCAGTTTGCCTGAAGTAAATTGTTGCAGCATGGTTAGTCTCCTATAGTAATAGCCCAAGGTTCTGTGCATTGAAGGAGACTAGTTCAAGAACTAAACAAACAGCTCTGTGGCTGATAGCACCACAGAAACCCGAGATTTTCAACAGGGAAGGCACCGCTCTATCTTGTGAATCTACTCTGTAGCCTTGGCCTGCCGGCTAAAGGCTTGACTCCTTAGTGTGGCTGTCACCTCTTCTCCCATGGCATATCCCACCTATGTGTATCCTCTGTAGGGCCTGTGCTGCACCCCATTCCATGATGTCACCTGTGTGTGTGTGTCCCAGGACTGCATACAGGCTCTCCTCTCTGTGAGAGGACATCTCTGTCAGCAAGCTATTCTTAAAGGCTTTGCTTCCTCAGCTTGCCCTGCCACACTCTGGCAGTCACGCCCTTCCTTATGCCACATTCCCCTCTGTTACAACCTTGCATTTCCTAGACTAGTCTTCTGCTCCCTTCCGGGGTGAGTTACCACCTCAAAACTCAGATTCCAGGAGCCTCTGAGCAAGCACTGCAGAGGAGGTGGTCTTGGGATTCTTGATCCAATTCAGGCTCCCAGCTTCCTGTGGTCGTCTTGCTCAAGTTTGCACCATAGCCCGCCTCCCTGAGCTCCTCTTAGACCAGATGGAAGGAAGTGCATCTTCCTGAAGTAGTGTGTCTTGTAAGCCATGGCTGAAGGGGAGGGTGGGGCTTGGAGATAGTGTAACTCAAGTCACCCTGAGTTTCACTTTTGGGGCACAGACCAGGATCACTGTGATACCTCACATTGAGAGAGAAGAACTCAGATCTGAGGACAGTGATTGTCTGCCACATCTCCCAAGTAAGTGCTTCTTCTAATTCCTATGTCCTCCATCCCCAGCCCTCTGTCCTCAGGGAGGACCAAGCCACTTGTCCTCAATGGTGATGGTGGCTCTCACTCTCATCAGGGGTCTCTGAGATACCTTTCAGGAGGCAAACACAACTAAGGGAAGCCAAGAAGCCCTTAGTTCAAGTGTGCGCAGACCCTGGGCAATGAGGGAGACATGTCCCTCCCCACAGGATCCCTCTGCTGAAAGAGGCCTGAAACTTTGGCCTAGAGTTTATGCTGGGGTCTCTTGGGACAAGCTTTACAGTCTGGCACGTGCTGAGTAAATGTTGACTGCGTGAGGGCTCAATGAGTGGGCAAGTGAATGATTCAGCCAGCTGGGCCTTGAGCAGAGGGGGCTGTGTGTGAGGTTCTTACCCCTTTCCAGAAGTAATTGCCTCAGATACCTCATTTTATCCTTGGAACAGAATGTCGCAGTCATAGAATGAACATTCCATGTTGCTATTTGACAGAACTGGAAACTGAGCATAGTTGGAGATTTTTCAGAAACTAATTTCTTGATTTACCAAACAAACAGATGAAAAACCTCACCACTCCCCTCCCCTTTCCAGGGTTTTGCTGTTTGAGGCCGGGTCTTGCTATGTAGCCCAGTCTGGCCTCAAACTCATGATCCTTCTGCCTCAGCCTTCTGACGGCTGGGACCGCAAGCCTGCGCTGTTACACCCAGCTCCCCACTTCCAATTTTACAAAACTATTAGCATGTACCTATGCCCAATCCTGTGCTGGTATAGAAGATGTAGAGGGGACCTAAACATTCCAAGGAATTGGACTAGCCCTTCAGACTTGGGGAGCAACTTGAATGAACATTGGAAAGTAGGAGCCAGGGACCTTGTGGTGAGTATGACGGGTTTGAATGGTGTGTAGCAAGAGGAAGCCTGCAGTGCTACCGTTAAGAAGGAGTTGTGGGCTTTGCACAGAGGGAACTGTCACAGTAGAAGATTTGCTTCCTTTTTAATGGGAGACAGAGCTTAAGTATCAAATGATAAAATCTATTTCAGCAAAGTCACTTGAGTGAGGCAAGGAGATGAGCAGACTCACAGCAGAGGCTGTTGAAATTGTCACACTGTAGTTGTGAGGGTGGGGCAGAGAGGACACACAGGAAAGCTCTTTTCCAGAGTCCACATTTGGTCCTAGGAGGCTGCTCCCACTCCAAACTCCAGCCACTCTGACTACCAGCTCCCTTTCTCCTGTTTTTTTCAGTCTTTGGTCAAGTTCTCCACATCTGGAAGGCTACCCCCATAAGCCCCTTATTCCCTTGCACAGAGAAGGTGAGGGATGTGTACAGGCAACCAGAATGACTGTGTGAGTGAGCAAACCTTGTTGCTTCCAGTCAAGAAGAACAGGAGTGGGGTTGTTTTTGGCAGGGGGTGGAAGGGGGGGAGTGGAGAAAATGAATGTCACTTTTACTGCTGAGTTTAAGGAGTCTCTCCAGAGCTCTCAGATAATGAGGTCTAAAAGGTCATTGTAATTTAGGATTTGGCTCAGGTTGGAGTTGATTTGGTAGCCCTGAAGGAGAGATTTTAATCAGAGCTTGGGGATGAGTGAGAAAAAGAGTGTGGAGAAGACATGGCCAGAAGCTCAGGGACCCATTTTGTCCCATTGTGCAGAGGCAGAGGTGTGACTGACAAAGACTGGGAGAGACCCAGGAAGGAGACCCAGGAGAAACTGGCTGTGGAGCCAAAGAAGGGCAGTGTGGCAGCAGAAGGACCAAGGGAAAGGCTTGGGGCCCAGCAATCAGGTCCTACGTGACCACATGGAGTGTGGAAGGTGGGGAGGAGTTGCAGGGGTGGGAAGGTACTGTTTCCAGAAGTTTTGCTGCTGCAAGGAGAGGTGAAGTGGTCAATGGACAGGTGCCTGGTGCCATCTTGTGCCCTCCTCTGTGTTTCCCTTCTCCTCTACCTCTGAAGGACACCCGAACCACTGCAGGTTCCCTCGGAGACTACCTGGAACAGCAACACTACCTCTAGCTTGGATATGCCAAAAAACAGACATTTCCAATCTCTTCCAGTGGATGACAATTTACTCCATTAATCCTCACGAGAGCATAATGTTTTTCTTGCTGTCAAAGAATTTCAATTCAGATTTGGCTAAATAAATCTGTCTGAACACTGAGCAAGTTATTTTTACTCTCATCTCATTTGCCCCACACTGCCCTATGACATGTGGTCCCATTTCACAGATGGAGGCCGTGAGATTGGGAGACCTGGCGCAGCTGTCTTGTGCCTCTGAGCACAGAGCTCTTTCCACTCTGCTTCCCAGCACTTTCCCAAACCCACCCATGAACTGATGTGTGCACTGTGTTTCATAAGGCAACTCCCACAATAGCCTTGTGAGGGTAGATATTATTTCCTTCCACTTTAGAAATGATGAAGCTGAAATTCATAGTCACAAATGCCATGCCATTAGTGGAACCCCTTTCTAAAGCACAGGTTCGATTTCAGAAGCACAAACCCCTTTCCCTGTCTCCCTGTCACCTTCAGAATGAAAGTCATGTTTCTGAACCTGGCCTAAAGGCCAGCCTGCCTGCTTTTCTGACAGATCTTTGGTCCCTTCTTACCTCACACCCTCTGGCCTCTTGTATGTCCCTGATCTCCTAATCACAGCAGCATGTTCATCCACATGTGAACATCTCTGTCACTGCCTGTGCCAACCCTACTACGATGGCTGGTAAGGCTCCGAGGTCCCTAAGAACAGGGCCTGCATCTCTTTAATGTTCACCCCAGCATCCAGCTCACCAGGCATCAGGAACCAGTGTGTGTGTGAATGAGTGACAGAATGAATGAACACTTGAACTTGAAATCAGCCTTCCCAGTGCTCTCTTGGTACACTTGCTTCTGGAAAATAACTGCCTCCTGATTGATTAGTAAAGCATCTCGGATGGTCAGAAGTTCTAAATTCCACCCACAACTTTCTGGTTCCCTGCAGAAGGAAGGAAATTGTGGGTCTGGATTCAAGCCTCTTAGGGCCTACAGAAGAAGTGATTGACCCTGGCTGTCCCTTTTCTCCTATAGGTGGCCAACCCCCATTGTGGAACCACATGGAGGCCAGTGGGCCTGCTGGGTTGCAGGCTGGAGAAAGGGCCCGGGGCTGCCCCCAGGAGGGCTCGCCACGGCCCTCAGACAGCGCAGAGCTGGTAAGTTCAGCACTGGGTTCATACTGGGTTCATACTTCTTCAAGGCTGTCAAGAGCAGGATGACTGGGGACGCCCCACAGGTCACTGGAGTCATACTCTTGAGGCCTCTTTCCAATTACAGAGCTGTTCATCTCTGATCTGGCACCCCTCTCCAAACAACTGTAGCTTTGGGGCTCACAGAGGTGAAATGACTTGGGTTTAAGGCATGACAGGAGCTTGAGCAGAGGTGTGTCAACTTCAAATATAACGTTTGTCATCTTGCATGCAGGTGCTACCCCTGCCCCTAGAGGACTTTTGGCATGTCCAAAATGACTCCTCCCAGGGTTTTCTTGTGAAAAGCTGTGTTCTGAGCCTCTTCCTTTCCCACTGCTCCAGTCCCTCCTACACTTCTCCTCCTCCCATGGCCCCTGCAGTCAGGCCCCAGGGGTGACTGTAGTGCTAAACTCCTCTTGGGTTTATGCAGCCTGGGCCACATAGCTGAGGCTTACTGAGAAGTTTCTCTTTTCCTTCCTTTTTTTTTTCCTTCCTTCATCTTGACCAAGGTTTAGAAGCCCTTGCCTATCACACCCTTGAGCAGGAAATGCTTGTGTAAGATATTTCACATTTCTTGGTCTCTGTTTCCCCATCAGTAAATGGAGGAAAATAAAATTGAATGCTCCCCCGCCCCCGGAAGGATTAAAGGTCCTGTACAGAGAAGACACTCATGAGAGGGTTGCTGAATCATTCTGTGAAGTTTCTGAGTTTTTCGGCTTGTTCTGACATCTGCTCACTAGTCTTGTTGTCCAACTGTGGGGGCATCACCCCTCACGCTCCCCCTCTCCCTTGTCCAACCTGGCCCCAGACCCAACTATAAATGTTTCCTGTGTCCAACCCATAGCTGGGCCCCAGGAGTGAGCAATGACTGCCTTGCTATCATCTCCCTTTTCACTTCTTCCCTGTCCCTGTGAGATTCCTACACAGGTCCCATATCCTCCCTGCAGGTTCTGTTCCATGCCCCTGCAGTTTAAAGAATTCCCTTTGGCCTTGAGGGACTTCACAGGGATGCCAAGCTTCCTGTGGCCTTGGTCCCCACAAAGCACCCAGGCCTCACCTTGGGCTCCTTTCCCAGGTTGAGAAAAGGTTAGTTAATCACATATTGTCAGTGATCAGCTCCATCTCAGTCCTTCCTCAGCCCCTCCCCAGCCTCTAAGTCTCTTTTTGTCACAAGAGATGTGTGGAATCAGGCTCTCTAGGCAGGTTGGGTCTCGTGATCTAAAGCCAGGGAGCCAATGCTTCGTTGAGCCTTCCCTTTGTACGAGGTCCTGTGCCACTGCTTCATGTCTACAGTCTTCCTGATCCTCACGGCAGCTCTGAGAAGTGGACACTTGAGAAAGGAGGTCATTTGCTCAGACAGGGGAGGTGATGGGTCCAGACCTGCCAACACAGCAAGTTAATTAAAGGGGCCAGCATGGAAGCCATATTGGACTTGTGCTTTCTTTTAGCTTTCCCTGGCTGAGGTCTCCTCACTGTTCATGGGGGGCAGGGAGAGGAGGCTCCAATAGCTTCTCCTGATTGGTGTGTGCTATACCAGAGTCTGCTGTCCCTTCCTTTCTTCTTTCCTCCGTTCTTCCTTCCTCCGTTCTTCCTTCCTTCCTTCCTTCCTTTCTCTTTCTCTAGCTCTCTGTCTCTCTCTCTCTATGTCTCTCTCTCTGTGTCTCTCTTTCTCTCTTTCAGTGGTACTGAGTTTGAACTCAGAGCTTTGTGCTTCCTAGGCAGGTGCTCTACTTCTTGAGCCAGGCCTCCTGCCTTTCGTACTCTGGTTCTTTTGGGATAAGGTCTCACTTTTTGTCCAGGCCAGCCTGGACCGCAATCCTCTTTTTTTTTTTTGTTTTATGACCTCATTTTTGTATTATTATTCATATGTGCATATAATGTTTGGGTCATTTCTCCCCCCTTCCCCCACCCCTTCACAATCCTCTTATTTTAAGCTTCTCACCTTTGCTGGGACGATGCACATGTACAACTTGTCCAGCTTTTTTCTTTTGATATGGGGTAGGTATCATGAACTTTATTGTCTGGACTGGGTTAGAACCTCGATCCTCCTAATCTCAGCCTCCTGCATTGCTTGGGATAACGTGTGCGCTATTATGCCCAGCTATTTGTTGAAATGATGTCTTGCAAACTATTTGTCTGGACTGGCTTCAAACTCTGATCCTGCCTGTCTTAGCCTCCCAGTTAGCTAAGATTACAGGTGTGAGACCCCAGTGCCTTGCTTTTCTTCCATCTTTCTGTGGCTTGGTCATCTCATAGTCTTCCCTCTTGGACTTCTCACTGAACACAGGAGGAAAAAGAAGAAAAACATCAATCTACCCAAACCATTGAATTCTCCATAACCTTGCTTTTTCACCAAGCAGCACTAAAACACTTGGCCCATCTGAACAGCACTTTACACTTTCATATACACTGTCCACTTTAGTCCTATGTCACCACAAGCATCTAATAAACAAATCCTGAGACCAACTGCTGTTCAACGTGGCCCTGAGAGCCACAAACCAGACATGGTCCCCAGTACTGGGGGACTTCTGAGTGGTATCATTTTGTATGGGAAATGACTGAGGCTCAGAGAGAGCTATGACTTTCCCAGGATCACACAGTCAGAAAGGTGCTGGGCAAGTTTTCTCTTGTTGGTTCATCTGGAGTTTCCTTCCTCATTTTCAGCAGCTTTGGGTTCTTTTCAGAGCAGATGGTCGTTTTTACAAAGCTTCATATCAATGTGGAAACATCTCTGGAGTTTTCACAATCCATTCTATACCCCTTCATAGCTCCTTGGGCTAGACCCTCTCCAAGCCTCCTTCCTCATTTGTAACACGAATAGCCACTCCTAGTATACCTGGTGGCTGGAAGCACCTGCATCATAATCACATAACAGGATGTCTGGCACGCCAGTTAGGATTATTCACCTCCTTTGGGATCTGTTTCCCTGTCTCATCCTAAAGCTGGGGAAGGACTGAGTCCTCCTCACCTCCCTCAATAGACAGCCTCTTCTCCGAGGCTTCTCCCTGAGTGCCAGGAAATGGTCACCTTGGAAAGTCTAAGCCAGGGAGGGTGGAATCTGGTGGACTGTGATCCTACAATGAATCTTGGGAGGTTATTGGGTTTATTTGACAGATGGACAAGAGGGCCATCCACGGAAGGTTTCTGCACACAGAACTGAGATTCCCAGGTCTCTTCTTCAGCTCCTGGGCTTCTGGTAGAGAACCTAGGATGTCATGTCCTCTGCCATCTCCAACCTTCTCATTTCTTCCTTCAGGTTGATCCCTTCTCAGCCCAATCTTTCCTCCAAGCTATCCCCTTCCTTTGCAGAAAAATCCTTTAATGCCTTTCCCTAGCATTTCAAATGGCTCACTCCCTCTCTTCACTTAGGTCACCTTCTCAGGGAGGTCCACCTTTGGTCATATCTAAAGATATCTCTTAGCTGGGTGTGGGTGGCCCACACCTGTAATCCTAGCTACTCAGGAGGCAGAGATCAGAAGGATCATGGTTTGAAGCCAGCCTGGGCAAACAGTTCCATGAAACCCTATCTCGAAGAAAACCCATCACAAAAAAGGGCTGGTGGAGTGGCTCAAGGTGAAGGCCCTGAGTTCAAACCCCAGCACTGCGAAAAATAAATAAATAAAGATATGTCTTTCTCCCTGATCACTTTCTATCACTACCAGAACCATGTTATATGATTATTTGTGTATTTTCTGCCTCCCACCCTGGAATCAGAGCTCCATAGTGTGGGACTTGGTTAGTTCTGTGGTGTACAGTGCTTAGAATAGTGCTGGGTACGTAGCAGGAAAATGGTCAATGTGTTGGGAAGAGTGACCAACTGAAGGCGCATCCTCTACTATGTGGTCTCAGACTCGAGTCTGAGAGTGAGTTAGGAGAGGCAAGCACTTGAAGTTTGTTTATGCATTTGTCCATTCGATGACAGCTCACACAGAAGCTCCTGCTCCTGCTCTGGGTATTAAGGACCAGAGAGTAATCAGTCATGGTGACAAGAGGGAGGTCTTGCAAACCCTGGATTCAAGGAAGTGGAGGGACTGAATAGAGGATATAGGAGCTGAGAGGGAGCACCCAGACATGGTGCAGGAGGTGGGAGGTAGCTTCTCTCCACTAGATGGAGCCTTCTGAAGACCCAGGCACGGGCATAGGCTGTGCATAGTAAAGAGCTAAGGTGTGTGAAAAGGTGAGGAATAGGCTGGGCAGGCCCTAGGAAGGCCAGTGAGGCTTAGAGAGGGCTAGGACAGGGCTCTAGCCAGCCCCTACAGAAGTCAAGGGACTGGAAGACCAGGTGTGAGCTGCACAGGGCAGGCCTTTGCTCTTGTTGGAGTTGGGGGATCTGGCCAGTCCACTAGGGCTCCCACCTACGTGTCGGCTTGCTTTTCCCTAGGTGCAGGAGTGCCTGCAGCAATTCGAGGTGACGAGGGCACAGCTGCGGCAGATCCAAACCAGCCTCCTGGGCTCCATGGAGCAGGCGCTGAGGGGACAGGCCAGTCCTGCCCCTGCTGTACGGATGCTGCCCACATTTGTGGGATCTACTCCACATGGCACTGGTGGGCGGCCAGAGAGTGAGGGGATTCTGAACTAAGGGCTGGGGGCAGTTCCCAATCCCTGTCCACGATCTCTAAGTTCCTCTTAACCCCACTTCTTGGGCCTTGGGAATTTTTCTGGGAAAGATAGAGGGCTCTGGTCTTGCCAGCTGTGTGCCTTTCTATCATTTACTTGCCCTTTAGAGCAAGGAGACTTCCTGGTGCTAGAGCTTGGGGCCACAGGGGCCTCTCTGCGTGTCTTGTGGGTGACTCTGACCGGCATTAAGGGCCATAGGGTAGAGCCCAGGAGCCAGGAGTTTGTGATCCCCCAAGAGGTGGTACTGGGTGCTGGCCAGCAGGTGAGTGCTCAGTGCCCGGCTTTGGTGCCTTGGAGCTGGGACTTATGTGGGCAGAGCTAAGCACTCCCCTTGTCTCACAGCTCTTTGATTTTGCCGCCCGCTGCCTGTCTGAGTTCTTGGATGCACATCCTGTGGGCAATCAGGAACTGCAGCTTGGGTTCAGCTTCTCCTTCCCTTGTCACCAGACACGCCTGGACAGGGTGAGGAGGTAGGGACATGGGGACAGTGAGCAAGAGAGGCTGCAGGCCTGTGGAGGTTATCGGAAGAGTGACCCTGTTTTTCTGCCCCCAGAGCACCCTCATTTCTTGGACGAAAGGTTTTAGGTGCAGTGGTGTGGAAGGCCAGGATGTGGTTCAGTTACTGAGAGACGCCATACAGAGGCAAGGGGTGAGTGCATGTCCAGGTGATGGGATCTGTCCTGGCTGACCTGGGCTTGGCATCCACAGGCTATGACTGTGCCTCTGGGAGGTCCTGCTTTCCTTTCTTGTCTACAGCTTAACCCTGGGATAAAGTTGCTATCATTCTCATTTTATAGACCAGGAAACTACTGGGCACTGGTGGCTCAAGCCTATAATCCTAGCTGCTCAGGAAGCAGAGATCAGGAGGATCATGGTTCAAAGCCAGTCTGGGCAAATAGTTTGTGAGGTCCTATCTTGAAAATATCCAACACAAAACAGGGCTAATGGAGTGGCTCAAGTGGTAGAAGACCTGCCTAGCAAGTGTGAGGCCCTGAGTTCAAACCCCAGTGCCATCAAAAACAAACAAACAAAAAGACAAGGAAACAGAGGCTAAGAAAGATTCAAATAAAATTTCAGGATCCTGAGGGGGAACAAACATGAAAAGACTTTGGCCTTGTCCTGAGGGTCCTCACTGTCTAGCAGGAAAAAAAAAAACAGTTTAATAAAAGTTTGTCCCTGTGTCCTGATGTCTTTGGCAGCAGCAGGGACTTGAAGTTGAAGAAGCTTGCCTGGTGCTTATGCTGAAGCTGGGGAGGGAGATTTAGTCTATGCCAAAATCTGGATGCCAGAGAAAGGCAGAGCCAGCTGGACAAACCCTAGCAATGGCTAGAAGAGAGATTGGAGGAACGGCTTGGGGAGCTAGGCCAGGGCATGGGCGAGGCCAGCTAGGAGCAACCTTCAAGAAGGTGCTCAGGCTTGTCAACCCCATCCAGGTCCTATGGGGTGCACTGGAGGTGAAGGCTGAGGGTGGGAGCCTATGACCCTGAGGGCCTGAGTTGGAGGAAGAGGAGCTGAGAGTAGAGGAGGAGGAGGAGAAACTTCTACAGGATAGAGTGCAGTGTGTCTGTGTGGGACATGCAGACATGTGTTTTATGGATTCTGGGTATCTCCATCAAAGCCAGGGCCCCAGTTCTGCCCATCCCCCAGGCACTGCACTCTCATCACCCTCACTGGTCCTGACCTCTGCCTTCTTCACTGCTCAGACCTACAACATTGATGTGGTTGCTGTGGTGAATGACACAGTGGGCACCATGATGGGCTGTGAGCCAGGTGTTGGGCCTTGTGAGGTTGCGCTTATCGTAGGTGAGCCATGCTTGTTTGAGTTGAGAGGTGGGGGTGTGACTGCCTGGTGGGCAAGCCCTGATGGAGTTATCCCTCCCAGACACAGGCACCAACGCATGTTACATGGAGGAAGCACGGCATGTGGCAGGCCTGGATGAGGACCGGGGTCGCACCTGTGTCAGCATTGAGTGGGGCTCCTTCAATGATAATGGGGCCTTGGGCCCAGTGTTGACTGTCTTCGACCATGCCCTGGACCATGAGTCCCTGAATCCCGGTGCCCAGAGGTGACCTGCACGGGGAAGAGGGGAGTGACTCTGCTTTAGTCCCTGTCACTACTCTGACCCACCGCTTCTGCTGCCCCTGCACGGAGACCCTTAAACCCCTCCCTCCCATTCTGAGGGTCTGCAGGTTGCCCCTGGGGGGCCCTGGCCAGGCTCAAAAAAGAAAGGCCTCAAGGTTCTAGAACACAGATTTTTTGATCCTTGGCCCTCCCTTATTCCTGACTGGTTAACCCTGACAGGTTGTGAGTTGAGGGGTGGGAATTTCTGAGCCAGGTGTCCTGTGCACTCCTTGGGTCTGGCTGCCACTCCAGGAGGCTCCTGAACCTAATCTGCGTCAGAGGGGGCAATACCCACTTGTTCCCTGGGAGGCTATATCCTTCTGGAGCCTCCAGTCTGGAGATGTTGAAGAAAGTGGCTCATGTTTGGGAACTCTGGGAGGTGGAGTCAGGTAGGCCAATGGCCTGGGAAGGCCTTTGTCCAGCTACCCTTTCCACCTGCAGGTTTGAGAAGATGATTGGGGGCTACTACCTGGGTGAACTGGTGAGGCTGGTACTGGCCCATTTGGCTCGGCGTGGGGTCCTCTTTGGTGGCTGCACCTCACCCGCCTTGCTGACCCGAGGCAAAATCCTCCTGGAGCATGTGGCTGAAATGGAAGAGTAAGTGGGGCAGGTGGGCAGCTCAGACAGGGGATTCTTGACTTGGGAGTTGCCTGTCCCCAAGGCAAATGTGGGACTTTGGTGGGGTTGGAAGCTCCTAGGATACCCGAACCCCAAACCAGCACCCTGTCCCTTCCCCCAGACCCTCCACTGGGGCAGCCCGTGTCCACGCAATCCTGCAGGACTTGGGCCTGAGCCCAGAGGCCTCAGATGCTGAGCTCGTGCAGCAGGTGTGTGTAGCTGTGAGCACGAGGGCCGCCCAGCTCTGCGCAGCTGCTCTGGCTGCAGTCCTGTCTCGCCTCCAGCACAGCCGAGAGCAGCAGACACTCCAGGTGGCTGTGGCCATTGGAGGCCGAGTGTTTGAGCGACACCCCAGGTATGTGAAAATACAGCTGTGTGAGCAGGTAACACGAACATCTCTGTGTTAGTAATACACACCCAGAGGGCAGTCTGGGATCACATGTGCAGGCCAGTGGATACCAGTGGAATCCAAGCAGAGTGAGAGCCAGACTGGGTAATGGGAGGCCAGAAGACATCCAAGGAGAGAAAAGATGCTGCTTTTTCTGTGTGCCAGGGAAGGGGTGCTGGGGACACTGAAGGTATGCGTGGTTGGGGCACAGAACAGATTTAGGATTGAGTTGACCCTGGCCCTGGGGGGGGGTCAGATGCCAAACTGGGTGCAACTGGTGTGTGTCTGTGTAGGTTCCACAGCCTCCTGCAGGACATGGTGGTGCTCCTGGTACCAGAATGTGATGTTTCCTTCATTCCCTCTGTGGATGGAGGTGGCCGGGGTGTGGCAATGGTGACGGCTGTGGCTGCCCGCATGGCTGCTCACCGGCGCCTGCTGGAGGACACGCTGGCGCCGTTCTTGTTGAGCCGTGACCAGCTGATAGCGGTGCAGGCACAGATGCGGGAGGCCATGGCCAAGGGACTCCGAGGAGAGGCTTCTTCCCTCCGCATGCTGCCCACCTATGTACGGGCCACACCTGATGGCAGCGGTGAGCACCTGGCCTGAGTGTAGGACCAGGAGATGGGCTCCTGGAGGTCACAATGTGTGCTAGGGCTGGACTAGCTCTGTTCTGGCACTGAGGGTCTCTCCCCCACAGAGCGAGGGGACTTCCTGGCCTTGGACTTGGGAGGAACCAATTTCCGGGTCCTCCTTGTACGTGTGGCCAAGGGAGGTGTGCAGATCATCAACCAGGTCTACTCCATCCCTGAGTGTGTGGCCCAGGGCTCTGGACAGCAGGTACTCACAGCTTGGGCCCTGAAGCCAGAGGTAGGGGAAGGGCTGGGATGGAGCCCAGCACCTGACTTGCACCACCCTGCAGCTCTTTGACCATATTGTGGACTGCATCGTGGACTTCCAGGAGAGGCAGGGCCTGACTGGACAGAGCCTCCCCTTGGGTTTCACCTTCTCCTTCCCATGTCAGCAACTTGGCCTGGACCAGGTAAGGGAGTGGGGGTCAGGAAAAGTGATTCCAAGGGCCTCCCATCCACATATCCCTCATGGAGTCGTCAGGAGGCCATAGAAAAGTTTGAGCAGGAGGATAGCATGGCTGGGGTAGCCTGGTGGTTATTTTAAAAGGGAGGCATGACTAGAAGTGACCAGAGAGTGACCACGGGAGAAAGAGCTATCTTTAAGTATAAATGAAGGAAAGCCTCTCTGAGGAGGTGATCTAATGAAGACTATGTCCTTTGAGGGGTGAAAGGTTAATGTTCAGCAATGTGGGGCCTCCCTTCCCCAGGTAGGGGCTCCTCTCAGCTCCACAGCATCCTTGGCTGGGCATAATGTGCAGACATCAGGTAACTAAGGGGTGTGCCTGGGTCCCAGCTCTCGGGGCAGTTGCTCTGCCAGTTCTTCTCTCAAAGAATTGACACTTCCCTCAGCTTTACCTGGGGAAGGAGAGCAGATGCCTTCTCTGCAATCAGATCACTCAAATCCCTTGGTTCAGGATGGAGGGCATAGGACACCTTCCTCAGGAAGTCATCCTCTGCCTCCTCTTCTCCACACCAGGGAGTCCAGCTTATCTGGGAGCAGGGATGTTTTGCTATAGGACAGAGACCATTATGTGGTCTCTCAAACTGGTTCTCTCTCTCTCTTCTCTGTTCTCTCTCTTTCTCTCTCTCTCTGGCTTTTTGAGATAATGAGCATAAACTATACTCTAGCTGCTGTACATTGGGAAGAGATGAAATATCAAGGGAAAATTTGGTCAGTGCTTCTACAATCTCCTGCCTCCAGCCAGGGGTGCACGCCTGTAGTCCCAGATACTCAGGAGACTGAGGCAAGAGGATCACTTGAGACCAGACTAGGCAATATAGCGAGACCCCCATCTCAGAAAACAAAAACAACAAAGTCTCCTGCTCGAAAGATTTGCAGACCTGCTTTTGATCGCTTTCCCTTGACAGCTGTGGTCTCTCACTCACCCTCCTTCCCCTCCCTCAGAAACACACTAAGAAAGTCCTTTCAGACACAGTGGGACTGCTGTCACTAAGTGCAATCGCTCACAATAAAGGTGTGTCTGTCTCTTCCCCTCCCATCTTGCCCAAGTGTCTGGCTTTTCCATTAGTCCTTCACCTGTCTCTGGAACAAATAAGCGAATCTCATTGAAATGGCTGAGAATTCTTTCCTTTGAAGTGACTCTTGAAATTTCTTTCGGGAAGGGTGGAATCTGCTGATATTTGGGCCTCTGAAGTTCATCTGTCTTCTTTGTTGCATTCAACACTCACTTTACCAGCTCTGTACATTCTAACCCAATTACGACAAGCCATTCCTTCTGGGCAAACGTCTTAAAATGGCCAGACCCTCAGACCACCTGGGCATTCTGCAGCTAACAATGGAGAACACAGGTCATATCACTATTAATAGGGTGCTTCATACTGAAAGTCTCCCAGGGAACTGGGAGGGGGCAGAAGGCAAGGCTATTGACCAGTGGGCAAGGACTGCTGCTCAGAGAGGGCAGAAATCCTACACTTCTGATGGCATTCAGGCTTTGGGGAGGCAGAGAGGAATTTATCCACCCTTGGTTTCATCCCAGGGCATCCTCCTAAACTGGACTAAGGGTTTCAACGCTTCAGACTGTGAGGGCCAAGATGTGGTATGTCTGTTGCGGGAAGCCATCAGGCGCAGACAGGTAGGAATCTGCCACCAGGGGATGCTTTGGGGGACAAAGTGTGGTCCTGGGCCTGGCTCACAGTGCACACTCAGTGTGCAGCAGGCCTGAGGGGAGCAAAGGGTCGTCTGCTTCCTAAGATGGGGGCCCTCTACAATAGAGACCTCTGGGTCCAGCGCTGGTTGCTGTGGTAACCCTGTTGCTCGGCAACTAGCAGCATCCTTTTGTGTGCAGGCAGTGGAGCTGAATGTGGTTGCCATTGTCAATGATACGGTGGGGACCATGATGTCCTGTGGCTATGAGGATCCCCGTTGCGAGATGGGCCTCATTGTTGGTGAGGAGGGTTCCTGTCCTTTTGTGCCCCTTCTGTCTAATAATTTGCTGCCTCCCCGTTGATTTCATGGGTTGGATGTTCTCTGGCCTTAGGATGTGGGATTGTTCCTGTCTTACCCAGCGGGGCCCTGGAACTCTATGTTGGGCTGGGAGTCTGGAGCTGGGGTGTTTAGTCCAGGCCAGTTGCCGATTCACAGCTGCTGAATCTTTCTGAGCCTCAGTTTGCCGATCTGGCAAATGCATCTCTGGAGTCATTCAGATTTGGGTGGAAATCCTAGCTGTGCTGCTTCTACCTGTATCACCTCAGGCAAGTCACAGAGCTCAGTTTCTTCATTTTAAGATTCAGACAATACCAGTGCCTGGCTCAAGGAGTTACGAAGATGAAATGAGAAAGGGGCAAAGCGTAGCACTGGGACTGGCTCACAGTGCACACTCAGGGTGAAACTGGGCATGAGCTATGAGTATTCTTCAGTCAGTCAAACAGTCTAAGTCTTTATTAAGCACCAGATGGAAGCTACATGAACCGACAGGAAAACATAAAAAAAGGGGGAAATCTGCTTTCTCAAAACTGACCATCCAGAGTGGGTTAGTGGCAGTTAGAGTTGACTGACTCTACACAAGTTTGGGTGGGGGGACAAGGCCAAGATCAGAAAGGAACAGGTTCTGGGACGAGTAGGACTCTGAAATGAAAGCCTTGAAGGACACAGTTTAACTAGACATGGAGGAGGTTCCCAAGTGCCTTGGGCATCTCTCTCTTAGAACTCAAGGCACATGGTGGCCTCCCATGGATGGGAGCTTCTTGAACGCAGGGCATGCCTTGGGTAGATGCCAGGGAGAGGTGGACTCACACTGCTGTCTAAATAAACTAGAGGACAGAGCAACTCCAGGTGGGGCCAATAAGGGGGTCATCTGCCCAGAGCAGCAATGCCTAGGGAAAGGGAGCTTTTTGTAGCAGGAAGCCCCACCCTATGTTCCATGTCTCCATAATGTTCTCTGTGCTTCACTTAGGGCCCACAAAGATCCTATCAGAATTGGCCATTCATCGCCCAACTTTGGGCCAGATTCTAGGGTTCCCAGTGTTGGTGTTCCCTGTGTCCCCAGCACCAGCCCACTACCAGATAGTTTGACTAAAGGTCTAGAAGGTGAGTGGAGGGAGCCTCAGCTTCTTACCAGCAGATAGTGGGGGCTAGCACATTCCCAGGGGAATGACCTGACTGACAGGCACTTTGGATAGCATGGTAGATGTACTGATGGCAGTACTGGTAGGGAAGCCAGTGGAGGACCTATGGGCTTGGTGCAACCAGGGACATCAGGAAGAAAAAGAGGACCAGGACTAGGAAGACAGCTTGAATGTGAGGAGATGGAGAAGTAGGGAGTGACCCAGAATTTTGTCATTTTGGAGTGGGAAGGGCTCAAAGGGCCTCCCACCCTGTCTGGCCTCTCTGCAGGAACTGGTACCAATGCATGCTACATGGAGGAGCTCCGGAATGTGGCCAGTGTGCCTGGGGACTTGGGCCACATGTGCATCAACATGGAGTGGGGTGCCTTTGGGGACGATGGCTCACTGGACATGTTCAGCACCTGCTTCGATGAGAATGTGGACCAGGCATCCATCAATCCGGGCAAACAGAGGTGTGGGCTGGGTCCAGGCAGTGGTGGCTGGCAGTGACCAGCACTGGTGACAGTATCTGGTTGGGGTCACCTGCATGGGGTAGACACATACATTCATGCAGGTTTGAGAAGATGATCAGCGGCATGTACCTGGGCGAGATCGTCCGGCACGTCCTCTTGCATTTAACCAGCCTTGGAGTTCTCTTCCGGGGCCAGCAGACCCAGCGCCTTCAGACCAGGGACATCTTCAAGACCAAGTTTCTCTCTGAGATTGAAAGGTACCCAAGGCCCAAATTGCAAAGGAGTGCAAAGGAGTCTTATTTGCTCACTATAGGTGTATTGTGTTGGGGGGGTGTTGGCTGCTGTGGTTGGTAGGGTTCACTCTGGAGGGTAGGGTGGGAGATGTGTTGAGGGAGGGGGGAACTCATACAAGGACCCCCACATTTCTGTCTTCTCTTCCTTCCTGGCCCCCAGTGACAGCCTGGCTCTGCGGCAGGTCCGTGCCATCCTAGAGGATCTGGGGCTGCCCCTGACCTCAGATGATGCCCTCATGGTCCTAGAGGTGTGCCAGGCTGTGTCCCGGAGGGCTGCCCAACTCTGTGGGGCAGGCGTGGCTGCTGTGGTGGAGAAGATCCGGGAGAACCGGGCCCTGGAAAAGCTGACGGTGTCTGTGGGGGTGGACGGGACCCTTTACAAACTACACCCTCAGTAAGTTTGGTGAATGGGCCAGGCAGGGAGGCAGGGCCAGGTGGGGCCTGGATGGCCGAGGGTTCACTTCAGCCTTTTTCTCTCACAGCTTCTCCAGCCTGGTAGCAGCAACCGTGCGGGAGCTGGCCCCTCGTTGCGTGGTCACCTTCCTGCAGTCAGAGGACGGGTCTGGCAAAGGCGCGGCTTTGGTCACTGCCGTTGCCTGTCGCCTTGCTCAGATGGCCCGCGTCTGAGGAAATCTCCAGGAACCATGGGATCTCAGTTCTGGCTTTGCTGGACCAGGGCCCAGGCCCAGCCATTCCCAGGACTACCAGAACAGCCCATGTGTTACCCCTCTGTGGCCTCAATCCTCGAACCCTGGCTTTCCTTGACAGAGGTAGCACTCCGGTTAGCAATATATATATAATTTATTTACATTCACGTCCGCTAAAATCCCTACGTGCCCCGGCGGCCGGGCAAGGCTGTGTACATAAGGCCAAGTGTAAGTGCACAAATGCACTTAAGACAGAGTCAGGACACAAGCTTCACATGACAGGCCCCATGCGGGGGGGCACCGGCCAGCCCCAGGAATGGGCACGGCACACACACTCGCCATTGTACAGCCCGGGACTCCCGTTGCATATTCACCGCCCCGCTGGGCAGGGCACCTCGAGGCTGGGGGCAGGGGAGGATCAGGGAGGAGCCGTCAGTTGTCCCTGGGTGGGTGGGAGAAGGGCAGCATATGAGAGGCAGATGTGTACCGACACCGGGCATGAGAGACAGGAGCAGCCTCTGGGTGTACAGCAGGAGATGTGTGTGGTGGGGGTTCTGCGTGACCCAGGAAAGGGGTGCAAGTGAAATGAGCACACGAGGCATGTGTGGTGGTCGTGTGCCTGAATCAACCCAGGGGCCGACCCCTGTCTGGCTGGGGCCCCTGATCCTGCAGGTTTGGAGCCGGGCCCCTTGAGTGTGCCGCCCACCCAGCAGGCACAGAAATGCTTGCATAAGGCCCAGCTCAGGCAGGAGCTCAGGGGCCACATCCCAAGTCCAGTGTGTGCGTGTGTGCCCATGTGTATGCGGGGCCCCAGGCGAAGGACAGAAGAGGTAGCATCACACGCACGTACGCACACACAGATGGGCTGGGCCTGGCCTGGACTCCAGGCACTGTCCACCCTGGGCCCTGGGGCCAGGGCAGAGTGTAAGCAGGTAGCTGTGCCTGCCAGGCCAGGCAGGCCATGGAAGGATGAGTGTTCGGGCAGAGTCTGAAGGGCCAGCATTAAGGGACAATGTGGGCCAGGAGGGGCCTGTCCAAGCAGCTCTCCCCAGTGTGGGGATAGGGCCCCTGTCCGGCTTCTGCCTGTCCCTGGCAGGTGCCAAAGCTGGTGAGAGTGTAGGCGTTTACAGGCCTGGTGGACCTCAGCACTCGGCTTCTGACACTGTGAAGAGGCCAGCGTCTGGCTGACCTAATCCGGCCACTGCCGCTGCCAGCTGGCTGAGGTTGCCATTGGGGAAGTGCCGTGCCTCCCACAGGTTGAGGATCATGGCTGTGGGGCTGGGCTTGGAGGCAAAGAAGCTGAGATGGCTGAGGAGAGGAGGGAAGTTTGTCAGTAGCCTGGCCTCACTCCGGGCTGCTGCCTCCTGCCTCCCAGCCTAACCAAGGACAAAGGCATCGACTGCCCTGGCCCCTGGGGTGTGGCACAGGTCTTGCAGGGCCTTCTGTCTAACCCCCTGGCCCACCTGCCCAGGCTGGACAGTGGGTGGCCTTTGCAGCCTTGCCTGCCATCTCCCACACACCTGTCCAGGTGGAGTTTCTGGGCTAGAGTCCGCCAGTCAGCACCCCGGCTGCAGGGAGGGTCTAGGCTGGTAATGATCTTCTGCCGAATGAGGAAAGGGATCTTGAAGGCACTGGGGCCCACCAGAGCTGGGACCCCCCCTTCACTCTCCAGAGCCAGCATTTCAGCAAACCTCGTGTCCTGGGAGACGCGGAGGAGGTGCCTGTTAGAACTTTGTGCACTGCTGCCTCCTGCTGGCAGAGCTCCCAGACCACCCCAAAGCATAGGGACGTCATGGGCATCCCCTCCCTTGTACTCTTTGCGGCTCAGAGGTGCAGCGGCTACAGGGGCCGTCTGGCCTCATCCCCAACCACTCAGCACTCTGTGCTCCTCACTGCCTGTGTCCTCCCACTCGGCTCTCCCTGCCCCCCTGACAAAAGCCCTGTTCCACCTGCTGCCTGCCTGTCAAACTCCTACTCAGCCTTTGGGGCCCAGTGCAAAGCCCTCAGGGGAGTTATCCAGGGTCCAGGCCAGCTCCGACTCCTCCTCCTGCTCCCATACTTCTGGGTGGTTCCCCTCTCCATGGTCAGTTTGCACCTGCACCTCCCTCCCCCAGGAGACTTGTGTGGGAGGGGACGGTGGCAGGGCAGGCAGGGTAGACTGGGGGTGGGGCATTTCTTGGGAGGTTGGCAAGGGGAGGGGGAGCAGCACATCGTCCCTCCTGCCCACCTTGGTTATATTGAAGTTGATATTGAAGCTCTGCCCATCGCCCTCCACCTGCCACACCCACACCTTGCAGGCCAGGTCACTGGTGCTGGGGCTGACGCGCTCCAAGGTGAAAGTGCAGTGCAGGTACTGCTGCGTACCATTCCAGATGTGATAGAAGGGGATCTCCTGAGTGAGCAGCAGAAAGGAGGCATCAAGTGTGCCCGGTACCAGCCCCTCAAGTGCTGGCCGCAGGGCCCCAGCCTCACCTGGTAGCTGACGAGAAGCTTACTCTTCCACAGCGAGCTGGGCACATCGTGGATGGACAGGCGCAGGTTGTGGTAACTGTCCTTGAAGTGCAGGACACGGGGCTCCTGGATCAGCTGTCCACCAAGCTGCTTCTCCAGCTGCACCACTTCCTACAGTGCCCAGGGGTCAGCGGAGCCTAGGACAGGGAGGGCCTTCCCCACTGGCCCCGAGGCAAGAAGGTCCCCAGGCCTAGGGCAGAGCCAAGACTGTGGGGGGAGGGCAGTACCTTGAGTGCATCGTGGGTGTCATGCAGGCAGTAGACCCGGATGTTGTACTCTAGGGAGGTGCAGGCCACAGGGGCAAACAGAAGCAGCCTGAGGCGCTTGGCGGCGGTCACACTGAGGGCCTCTCCTACCAGGGCAAAGCGGCCCAGCTGCTCAGTGAAGACATAGCAGGCGCCGGCTTCCAGCTGGCAATAGTAGAGGTGGGAAGGTGCCTCCTCACCCAGGTGCAGAACATCCTGCAGGCAGGGCCAGATGCATCAGTGCCACCCGGCTTTGGAGCTCCCAGAGTCCTCCTGCCAACCCAAGGCTCTTAGAAGTAGCCAAAGCCTGGGGAGGGGTCATGGTGGGGCTCAGAGCCACACACTGCTAAGGCAAAGGTTGCACAAATGGAAGGCCACGCTCCATTCTGAGGCCAGCACTTGGGGTGGGAGGTCTCTGGGGATGGTCCCTACTCACCTCCCAGCTGCCCTCGCATGACTGCTTTTTGAGGCGCAGGCTCCAGCTGTCGGGGCTGGGTTCCCCACAGTGGTCCATGGAGAGGATGACTGGCCGGGTGAGCAGGACTCCTGGGGGCCCACAGCTAACGATGGGACTCAGCAGGGTCTGACAGCCGGCTAGGGGCAACCTCAAGTATGGAAATATGGGCGGGGAGGGAAAGGTGTCAGTGGCCCATCCTGGGGACAGGGCGCTGGAGGCCTTGGGCAAGGCAATAGGGACCCTAGGGTTGGGTGATGCAGAGCTGGGTGGGTTTAGGCGTGGTTCTTCCCTTGCCTCCCTCAGGCTAGGCCGGGCCAGGCCCAACAATGGCTGAACAAGGGGCATTCCAGTGGCAGAGGGCAGCAAGCAGGACCCTCCCAGCCCTGGCAGCGGGGCCCAAGCCCACACCTCACGTCCTCTGGCTTGTGCAGCGTGAGGTAGATCTCGTAGATCTTCCCTCGGGGGATGGCATCCGGAGGGATGAGGAGGCTAATTCCTGTGACAGCAGGAAAAGGGCCGGCTGACCCTCTGTAGACACCCAATGTCCCACTAGCCAGCCCCTCCACTAGGCTCCCTCTGAGGGCTGACTAGTGTGGGAACAGAGGGGCTGCAAAGACTGCCACCCTGTCCATCCATCCACCCACACAAGCATGATGCTCAATCAGGAGCTCCAAGAACAACTGAGGGAGCCCAGCTGGGAAAAGCAATCCTAGTTAGCCCCTGCGCAGAAAACTCCGGGACAGAAGGTTCCATTTTGTAGTCCTTACCTCCCTTGTCACCCAAATGGCACTGTGTGGGACCAGGGCATTCCCTGCTTAAATCCTCCCCTGCTTCTGTGAAAAAAGTCCAGCTCCCTGGCCTGGCATCCCTATTATCTAACAGCCCCCCCAGCCAGCTGGTGCTGCACACTCAGTGGTTCTGTGGCTAAAGAGCCCTCAGCACTGGCCACTCCCTGACACTGGCTCTGCACCTGGAGCCAAGTCTTTAACAGCCCCACGGGCTTTGGTGGCCCTGCAGGTCTGGAAGCCACGACACGGATGCCCTCACACATGGCAGATGTGCCTCTGCTTCACAGAAGCAGGGCAAGTGGATACAATAGAGCAATACAGAATGTAGCTGGTGAGGGAGCCACTCTGGGGGGTGAGGAATGGCTCTGCTTCAGGACAAGGGGTCCCTCTGTCAGGAGAAGGGAAGGGAAGACATTTTAAGACTTTAAAAGCAAATGGATTCCCTCCAGAGTGGGCAGCCTTGAGGTGGGCTGGGCTAGAATATCATGACAGTCATGTACCACAGGACATTTTGGCCAATGATGAACCACATATATGACGGTGGTCCCGTGAGATTATGTCCCCTGGTGAAAGACATCATAGCCATCTGGGTCTGTGTAAGTGTGCTCTATGATGTTCACACTAGGAAATGGCCTAGAATGTGTCCGGTCATTATGGGACACATGGCTGTATTGCACAGAAGAGACCATTGGTCACGTATTTATAGCTGTTGTTCCCTTCACCAGCCTTGCACTACCCGCTAGTACCTGGTGTTGCTAGTGTTGGTGACAATCCCAGACACCCTGGTGCGACCACTCTCTGTAGGGAGCTACGCACACTTTCCTGCTCATTCAAAAATACTCATGCCGGGCACTCAGGAAGGAGAGAGTGAGGGTCTGGCGTTCAGGAATCTCTCAGTCCAGCAGGGAAAGGCACATAAACCACAGCACAGTGTGTAGGGAGAAGTGACACCTGCCCGCCCTGCCGGAGAGCAGAGAGCTGATGGCACTGAGCACCCGCTGTCTACCTGCTTCTTTGTTAGAGCTGACAGCTACCATCTTACCTCATTGTCCTAATAGCCCCATGAGGGGTTCGTCATCATCCCCTGTGCACAGGAGGACATGAGGCATAGACAGCAGAGCTGTCAGGCCAAGAAGGCCCAAAGGACAAGAGGATGAGCCAGTGACAGGGCAGAGGGACCCCATCTGCACGTGCAAGGGGCAGCCTGGTGTGTTTAGGGTGTGGGGAGTCCTCAGTGGCTGCCATCTGCAGGAGAAGTGTACACAGGAGGGAAGAGGCCAGAGTAGCTGGCCAGCATGGGACGGGTCATGGTCGTGTGTACTTTGTCACGAGGGCTTTGCAGGCAGCAGCAGCCGCAGGGAGCCCCAGAAGGAGTTTGGGCAGGGGAGAGTCATGACTAACTGGATGATTTGGTGAATGTTTGGGGGCGCTGGGATCAGGGGTGTGGCCACCTAGGCCAGGTAAAACATGGAGACAGACAAGATGCAGGAGGAGGCAGGAGCCACTGGAAGGGAGAACACACAGGACTTGGTGTGTGACTAAAGCCCACATGGGGCTGAGGGGCAAATGAGGAAGAGCAGGAGGTCAAGGTGACACCTAGCTAAGTTTCTGACTTGAGCAACTAACTGTGCTGTCCCTGAGCTGGGGAAAGCCGGCAAGGAGGCGGCTCTGGAGGAGGGTGGGAGACGGTTCTGTTTTAGGCACAAGGAATCCGAGGTGCTGTGAGACATCCAGATGGTGCTGCCCGAGAGGCAGCGGGGTGTGCAGTTCTGGCACCATGAGAACTGCGGGCTGGGAATGGAGGAGTGGGAGTGATCGGCACAGACGTGGTGACTAAAGCCATGGAGTGGGTGAGATCGCTCTGGGAGAAGGGTGCCGGGAGGGGGCTCAGAGGAAGACCTACACTTGGAACCAGGAGCAGCCAGAGAGGGGTCAGAAAATCAGGGGTGCATGGGGTCACCTCTCTGCTGAGGACATAAGAGAATTTCAAGGGGTAATGGCCAGCCTCACCACAGGCTGTAGCAATTTCTCCAAAGATGGCCCCAGGAGAGTCCGTGGACTCTCTAGCAAGGTGTCCTGGGGACCCAGGATGCAGTGGCAACTCCAGGAGGCCCTCCGGCTGGGCCTGGGCTGTTCTGTTTGTCTCTGCTCTTTCTACTCGTTTGGAAGCAGGTGCTTGTCCTACCTTGTGGGCTCTGGGCCCAGCAAAGCTCAGCACACAGAGGCTGTCTGCGTGAATGAATGAACCATACTCTTGTGTCCACAGGCGACAGAAAGGACACAGCCCTGGCCACGGCCCCACTGCCAGCCCTAACTGGGTTCTTTACACAGTACTGTCCCCTCTCCTTGCTGACCTGGCCAGCCAACCCCAGGTTGAGGCTGAGTTGCCCAGGAGGAAAATCTGGACCTGTCTGTCGTCTGGAGGGACGGGGAAGGCTCTTCTCACCTCCTGAGCTCTCTGGGATCCTTCTTACCCGTGTTAGGGATCATCAGCCGCCCCCCGAGGAAGTTGAAGGTCCCGTAGGTCATGTTGCTGGTGCCTCGGGGCAGGGAACGAAAGTAGTTTTGGGTGGAGAGGCGGGAGACGAAGTCCTCAGCCTCAGAGGTGGGTGAACTGTGGTGCAGCGTGTGTCGGTCACCACCCAGTGGGCTGAGCAGGTGCCCGTTGGTGAGCTGGAACTTGGGGCTGGGCCCATCCTGCCGGGGACACAGGCTGCCCTGGTAGGTGGTGGTGGTGGTACTGAGGTCTGGCTGGATAGTGAGCAGGTGGGGATTGTCTACAGAGATAAAAGTCAGACTTAGGAAGTGGCCTTAGGCCTGGGGCCTCTGGCCGGAGAGCTGGGGCTGGGGGCCACCTCACCTGCTTTGCTGGGCTTGATGCTGACGGGCTGGAAGCCTGAGGTGAGGATGGATGAGTCAGCCACGTCCGAGTCCAGCCCCTCCTTCTTACGACAATATACAAGGATGAGGACAAGCAGCAGCAAGACGAGGCACACAGCCACAGCAATGAGGCCCACGTACAGGGCCACATCCTCAGGGCCAGAAGCAGCTGCAGAGAGAGTGTGGCCTTGGGAGAGGCAGGGTTGGAGGGCTGGGAAGGCGGTCAGTGGTCTACACTCCAGGAGGATGAGGTCTGCACCTGGAGGTGCTCAACTGAGCCATGGACACTTGAGGTGTCGGCACCTGTGCATTCTAGCTCTGCACCTGCCACTACCTGGCCTGTGACTCTGAGCAACTCACATCCCTCACAGATATGACATGCAGCTCAAGGTTGCTGCCAGGAGCGTGGAGGCAGAAGTGCGACTTCCCCAGGGCCGGTGGCCTGGTGCCCAGCTGCCTGGGGCTGGGGGAGGAAAGGTGAGCTCTTTTAAGGGGATTCCCAAAGTACAGTGGTGTGGTTTGAATGCCCCCCACCAAGGATTCCCATTCACACTGGGGAAGCTTGGTCCCCAGTGTGGCAGTGTGAGAGGTGGGGGGACCTTTAAGAGATGGGTCTGGTGGGAGATCATTAGGTCATTGTGGGCACTGCTCTCAGAAGGGATTAAAGTAGTTCTTGTGGGTCCCTGGGCAGGTTCTTCTGAGAGCCTTGTCATAAAAGAGCAGGTCTAGTTCCGCTCTGGTTTTCTTTCTCGCCAATGTGCCATGATACAATCTGCCATGAAATAATACAGCTAAGTGGGCCCTTGCCAGGGCTGACACCATGCTGTTTGGCCTTTCAGCCTCTAAAACTGTAAATTAAATGAACTTCTTTTCTTCACAAAGTATCCAGCTTCAGGTATTTCTTTATAGCAATGGAAAACACAGGGAATCTGCTTCCTGTGTGGTTTCAGGTCACCTTCCAGGCCCTTCTCCTTGTCTGCCCCCCCAGGCCCCACCCCCACCCTGAAGCAGGGCTGGGGAGGGGGAATGACTGCTTAGAGGAAGCTATATTGATTTTAGAAGGCTTTTTGCATAATGGGAAAAATGTCCATCAGAAAGGAATTGACACAGATAATTGGGTTTTTAATTAGAAGAATGGGGGAGGGTGTGTTCTGGAGAAAAAAAAAATCCTACAGAGATTTTTAATTGTTAGTTATGGCCTTGTAATTAACAGGCCTCACAAGCCTGGCATCCCCGCAGGACTTGTGTGTACACTTGGGGGACAGGGTGCTGGGCTGTGGGGGAGGTGCTGGGGTCCACAGGTGAGGGTACATGAACCAAGATTTGAACTCGTGCGTGTCTCAGGAGATGTGGGAGGTGGGGAGCATGCATGGTTAGGGATGAAAGGATGCCCAGTGTACTGAGTTTTGGAGAGGGATGGAGCTGGTGGCAGGGGAAGGACTGCCTGCTGGGCAGGGCTAATCCTGGCAAACAGAAGTGGACCCCAGAGAGGACTCACTGTGCACGCAGAGGTCGCTGGTACAGTTGCGGGTATCCAGGTCAGCTCCTTGGCACTCCTCACCTCCGTTGCGGGGTGCTGGCTCAGAGCACTCGCGGCTCCGCCAGTGAGTGCAGTCGAGCCCACAGGCTGACCATTTGCTCCACGGGCTCCAGCTGCCATCCACTAGACAGAGAGACAGACAAAGAGACAGGCAGAGAGGAGACGACGCAGTCAGCCTGGGGAAGCCAGCCCCAGGTGGTCTGCCAGTGTGTCTGGACCAGGCAGGGCGGGCTGGCCTGGACCTGGGTACACTGCCAGGCACAGGCCCGGCAGTCTGCACACCCTCTAGTGTCCAGCTGGCCTTGATGACACATGCTAATGATGGGGGGGCACGGATGATGCCGGGGGCTGCTTGACTCTCCCAACCCCAGGGAGGCCATCCTGGTCCTGGGGCAGAAAGGGCGCTCAGTCACACAGTGACCCTTCTGGTCCCAGGCACAGGTGGATTCTGCAGCCCCAGGCTGAGCCCTACACCCTATCCTCACCTCAGACCCTGTGGCTCAGACCCAATATTGACCCGAGCCTGGACACTGACCGAGCCCTGACTCCAACCACACAGTGCACCCGTCCCCGCCTCAGACTGAGCCTGGCCCTGCGTGGCAGGCGAGTGGGATGGAGCCATGGGGGGGCAGGCTGGTGGGCACGATGGAGCCAGGGCACGGAGATGGCGCGGTGAAGAACGATGCAGGAGGCAGTGGCCGCTGGTACCTGGGCACAGGGTGGCGCAGGCTGTTTTCTGGACATTCTGCCCCTCACAGAAGGCGCCCCCGTTGAGAGGCGCCGGGTTGGTGCAGCTCCGGCTCCGTTTCTGCCAGCCACGCCCACAGCTGGCACTGCAGACGGACCACTCGGTCCACGTCGACCACCCACCGTTCACTGGCCGGACAGAGAAGGACTGGGGTCAGGGAGCGGGGGCTTCCTCAGATACCCTGGCCCAGGGGACAGGGCATGGGGATAGAGGGCCTGTGAGCTGGGGATGGGCAGACTACCACTGTGGCTGGAGAGAAGTCTAGGGGAAGGCTGAATCCTGCCTGCTGGTCACGGGGCCTGGCAGCATCCATCAGGAGTCCTCCCCTCTTCTGGCAGGTGCTCAGGACTGCTGGGCTGAACTGCAGCTTACATGGTCCTCCAGCCCAGACCCCGACCTCTCACAGGGCAGCTCCTGCATACCTCCCTCTACCCGCTCTTGGAGGTTCCCGGGACCACTCAGCCCTACTTCCCATTCTGGGGTCTCAGGAGCAGGCGGGTGATCTGTCACCTGTCCCTTCATCTCTTGCAAACAGCCTCTGCCCACAGATGGCCACCAACCTACCCCAGCCCTCTGCCCAGCCACACCCTCGACCTCCCAGCAACCATGTGAACCCCTTCTTGTCCTTCCTAGTTAGGCCAGTCGGGTCGGCCTGGCCTTTATTCTGTGGACTCTGTCCACACGTGGCTTGCCCGAGGGCACTTAGTGCCTCTCCATATGATGGGGTTGCCCCGGGACTCACCGTACACGATGACAGCCGCTGAGGCACTGCGACGACGAGCTACAATGTTCTTAGCCACACAGGTGTAGTTGGCTGTGTCAGCCAGGCGGGCCTGCCGCACCACCAGGCTGTGCTCTCGCGTGATGTACACGTTGGGGTCCAGCGAGGGGTCCACCAGGTCCTCATTCCTGAGCCACTCCACCTGTAGGGAGAAGCCATGCCACTGCACGGCTGGGCCACGCTGACCTGCCCAGAGCAGAGTGGCCCCAGGGGAGGAAGGCAGTCTGGGAGCCTCGCCCCCCTGTGGAGTGGGCGCCAGAGCCCCCTCTCACCTCAGCTGGGGGAATGCCCTCCGGTGGGCGGCAGGGCAGCACAATGCCTTGCTCCAGGGACACCTCCCTGGCCAGCGGCTCTTGCTCGAAGTTCTTGCGCAAGTCTGGAAAGAGAACAAGAGTGTCTTCCACCTGCGTGCCTGGCTCCACTTGGCTGGCTCTGTCCCTTGGTCCTGCAGGAGCCGCGACACATGGCAGGAGGAGGTGCTAAGTCCCAGGACACATGGGAAGGGCTGGGCAGTGTCCTCTGCCCATCAAGGCAGGACTGTGGGGTTTAGTGACCAGATCCTCTCCTCCAGGATGCCTGCTGCACCCCCCACCCCAAACCCCGTGACACCCTCCAGCAACTGCCGCCACACTCCATAGGCCTGTCCCTGGACTCACAGGCGATGCGAATGTAGGCCTTCTGACTCTTAGTGGTGCCCGAGGAGCTCCACGCCACACACTGGCACCAGTACTCCTCCAGCCCGAACACCTTCTCCACCTGCTGCCTGGAGACATTGATGCGTACCTCCATGGCCGGCAGCCCTGGGGGTGGGAGAGCTGGGTAGCTGGGGACAGGGTCCGCGCTCAGTCTCCCAGTCCCAGATGTCTGAAACCCTGTACCACCCTTGGCAGGAGAGGGACTGGACTCTGGGCATCCCTTGACCTGGAGGGGACTCTGGTGTGGCCCAAGGGGCCAGGAGATTTATCTCTCCTGGAAGCCAGGAATACAGTTTCTAGAACTTCCGTTCATTCTACTTTGTCACCTGAGGCATGGAATCACAGACATAAACGTCCTAGCGGAGTTTGGACAACCAGGTTCTGGACTCCAATGTCTCCAGGCAGAAAGGATGGGGCAGACAGGCTGAGCTCTGGAAATCTGGGTATAGAAGTGTGGGGAAGGGTCTGCCCTCCTCCCGGGAGGGCTGGGCACAGATCCTGACAGGTGATCTATTAACAACATAATTACAGCCATCATGTCAGGATAGTAGACTCCAGGGACCTAGTAAGGGCTTCCCACATGCCAGAGACTTGTCTCTCTCAGCTTCTTCCCTGCTCCGTTCCCACTCTGGATAAGGGACCAGTGCCAAGAGTGCTTGTCTTGCCACAGGCACTGGGGCTGTCTGAATCAGTGTGTCTAGTTTTCTGCAGTCACTTGGGGTGAGCTGGGATGCTCATCTCAGAGGAAGAACTGTTGGAAGAGGGGGAGGGGCAGTGGGCAGAGTGGAAGCTGGACCTACTTGGGGCACTCTGGGGGGAAGCCCTCTGTAGGCTGGACAGAGCTCCCCGCCTTCTGCCACACCAGACCCAGACAGTGGGGTGTACTAGGGGGATCCCGGTCCCTCTGACAACCCAGAGAGGGGATGCTAGACCTCCTCCCCTCCCCTGGTCTGCGGCCAAAACCACTGGCCCCAGGAGTGAGAAAAGACTCTTGGTTTCCAATTTCTCCTCCTCCTGACCCCAATTTCCCTCGGGTCACTGGCTTATCAGAAAGAGGCGAGAGGCCGGCAGCCAATGTGTTTCCATTGTTAACAGAGAAATTCAATTAGGGCCGCAGAGCAGGAGGAGCAGGGCCCAGTTGAGCTGGGCTGTTTTCCCTTGTAATTCCTCTAACATGTCTTTCCCATCCCTTCCCAGACCGCTCCCCACTCCCTCCGGAGTCCACTGGGCTCCAGCCTTTTCTTACTCGCTGGTCCTCTGGCCAATACTTAAAGGAGGCGGGTGGGGGTCCCTCCGGCCGACATGATTGTTACAGGACTACTTTGCTCTTGAGCACTTTCTCCTGCTCTGACGGCACATGAGGTGCTCACCCTCTGGGGGTGGATGGGGCTGAGAACCAGGGGGTCCTTCACAGGGCGGGTAGAGAGGTCCTGGGCACTGGCTACTGCCAAACACACAGAAACTTGCGGCTGAGGGTGGGAACAGGTCTCGTTCTTCCTCTTCCTCCTCTCTGCCTTGGGTTTGGGATGGGAGACCTCCAGAACGTTTGGAACTGGGTACCTTTTCCTCCTCTGGCCCTGCCTGGAAATGTGAACAGGTGCCCGTCTGGGAGAGGGATGTGAGGAAGGAGGCGGCATTCCAGGCCTGCCCGGGGTGTGTGTCTGTGAATACCAAAGGCACCTGTGGGGACCTCTGTGTGGGCACGCTGAGTGTTTCCGGGAGGTGGAGGGTTTGCTGGGCGTTCTGACGCCAAGCCAGGGCTTACATTCTCATCTTCTAAATTTGATTCTAGTAATCAGTCAGTTTGTTTAATACAGAATGAAGAATACCCCCAGAACAGGTTTTTATAGCAACAGCAGGTTTGGCTTCTAGCATTTCAGGCTTTGGCTTCCCTTCTAGATGGGCGATAAAAGCAAATGATGGGTACTTGCTTCCTAGGGGTGCCTACCTGCCACCCTGAGCCCCCCGTGAGTCGGCAGGACTGCAGACCTGGGCAGACCTCTGACACTGACATACCTGTCTGACCATAGCTTGTTTCTGGTTCAGAGTTTTTGGTCTGCACACTTGCAAGGTACCACCGCATGGCATTTCTTTGTGGACAGGTAAGAGAAGCCAGTCTCCTTGTCTCGAAGCACTCGGTGGCTTCGTGGGGGAGAAGTTCAGATGTGCTGGCCATGGAGGTGGAGTTGCAGGGAGGGAGGGGGCCCTGGTGGTTCTGTGGGACATGTCCCCATGACTTGTTTCTCTGCTTGGCTTGAAGGCAGCAGGGCCTGGAGCCTGTGGGAATGTGGGCTGGGGGCTGCCTGGGCCCTAGCCAGACCAGGTAGCCAAGACTCGGTGATGGCAGAGCATTCTTGACGAGGGCTGGTCTGGAGCCTTTGGGAGGTTCCAGGAAAGGTCTTCAAAGCCTTAGGAAGGCAGGTCTCTGGCTGCAGTGTCTTCCTTGCTCATCGCAATGGGAGGACATATGTGGCAAGGTGGCACTAGCTCCCCCCAGCGTGGGGTAGGGCAAAAGGAAAGGCCTCAGTGGGGTTCGTCTGGGGATAGGAGATCTCAGTGCTTTGCAACCTGCAAGGGGCTCTTCACCCCCACTTTACAGATGAGGAAACTGAGTTCAGGAAGTAGAGAGGACTTGCTTCTGCTGCAGACTCTCCCACCAGGACAACATGGGCTCTAAATCTGCCCTCGTGCAGGGAGGCTTCTGGACCTCGTCAGGATGGAGGAGGCTCTAGACACAGGAGGTTCAGAACTTCCAAGACCTATGCTCTCCAGCCCCTCCCGAGGGTGGGAGGCAGAGCCGGATCACCTGCCTGAGAGCAGGGGCTAAGTCCCTAGTACCTAAGTAGTGCTGGTCACGGAGCAGGTGCACAATGAACACCTGAGGTCGGCTGGAAGGAGGCTGCAAGTGCCGGCATGTGGAAGCCAGGGCAGTGCAGGGTGCAAGGCTCTGGCCAGGGATCACTAACGCAGTGATGGGACAGGGTCTCCAGGGCTCCTGTTGGAGGACTGAGCTGATACTTAGGGGGACAGGGACCTGATAGAGACCCTGCAGACCCTAGCGGAGGATGGGGTGTGACTTCTGCAGGCCGGAAGACCTGGCTGGAGCCCTTTTGGGACCCTGGTGAGATCAGAGCCAAGGCGCCAGTCTCATCTGCGAAACGCTAGGCTGGTGCTGAGGACTAAATCATGCCCTGTGGAACCTGAGGGTGCTCCAGTTTGCATTTGGATTATTTTGAGAGCTCCAAACAGTTCTCCTGAGCCACGGGCCTTGCCTGCCCTCCTGCAGTCCCGGTCTACCCTGCATGATCCTCCCATGCTGCAAGTTGACCATGGTACTCTCTGGGTATCTGCTTGCCTCCTAGGCTCACTCTAAACCTGAGCCACTCCTGAGGGCATGCTGTTCTGTGCCACCCACTTCCAGTGCCCTTGGCCTGGAAAACACTCTTTACAGGTGGTTTTGTGATCTGGATGCTGATCCTCCTCTGGGAGTCCTTCCTGGGACACCCCTGCCTACTGAGATACCTCCATGGGCTCCCCACTCTGCGCCTGAAGTCTCCTGCCTGTCTGCAGAATGAGCATGAATCCTGGGTGCCAGTCTGTCCCCAGCTTCATTGGCTTTTGAGTCCCACATGGGACTGTCCAAGCCTTAGTGGGAAGGGGCCCAGGACTGAGCCTGAATGCTATTGTGGGTGTCTGCCTGTGGGTGAACCCAAACAAGTGCTCTCTGCCCACCTGCTGCCTGAGATCAGTGTCCCACAGAAAGGACACTTCTTGGGTCTGCCTGCTGCCCCTGAGGACCTCTCTGCACCTCTGATTCCTCTGGGTCAGCCCCTCTTGTTAGTCCCACACTGGCCCAAGTGTCACCCTTAGTGCCAGCCACATTCTCTGTAGTTTGAAGCCCCAAAGGACAGTGGCATCATTGTAGCCCCAGTGCACAACCAGCAAGCCCCTCACTGCTGAGCTTGGCCTTCACTTGTGCTATGGCTCCTGACCAATTTTTTTTTGCAGTGCTGGGACTTGAACTCGGGACCTACACCTTGAGCCACTCCATCAGCCCTTTTTTTGTGATTTTTTTTTTTTTTTTTGCAATAGGGTGTCCTGAACTATTTGCCCAGGCTGGCTTCAAACCACAATCTTCCTGATCTCTGTCTCCTACATAGCTAGGGTTACAGGCATGAGCCACCAGCGTTCAGCCTCCCTGACCAATTCTTGGTCCTCTTTCCTCCCCTGAGGAGCCTCCTCTGTGCCCTATGCAGCCTTAATTCTGCTGCCCGAGGGCTGCCTCTTTCTGGGGGCTGTGTTCCCAGCAGGGGAGGGGGTGTTCAGTAAATGGTGAATGCAGGCACAAATGAAGGAATGGACAAACAGAAAATAATCAGATCATGGTCTGTGAGTGCAGATCATCTGGGACCCACCCTCTGACCCCTCTTTCTTTGCTGACCTTGCCACACTGACCTTGGTTTTACCTGGCATAGCTATGCTCTGACACAGCCCTTTTTGCCATCTCTTGCTGGGGGTCCCTGGGACATTTGTGAGGAGTGGGATCTCCCAGACAATGCTTCTGTGTATATACACAGGGCCCCAGGTGTGGGAACCCTACCCCATCTGGTGACACAGAGAGTGGTGGGTACAAAACTGGATACATCCTGGCCTTGCTGCTTATACGTAAACAGCCTGGAACCCTGGCAGACCCCTCCCCGCCGGCTGAGACTGCCTCCCTGTCAGCTGCCCCTCCTCACCTCCCCAGTCCAGCCTTACCACTGCTCCCATCCGTGCTACGCTCGATCACATGGTCCACCTGGCGCACCCACTCCCCATTGCACTTGAAGAAGATCTGAGTGGCGGGCACAGCCTTGCACACCAGCAGCACCGGCTTGTTCTTGACAATGTACACGTCCTCGGGCTCCACCAGGAAGTGGGGAAGCAGGTCTGGGTTTGCTCCGGGAACTGGATTGGCCACCGTGGCGCTCTGCTGGGCACCTGTGGCAGGAGCAAAGAGGAAAGGTAAGCCAGCCTCTCCCTGGGGCTGCCACAGGGACAGGAATGGGGTTAAGGGAGGGGAGTGAGTGCAGGCTCAGCCACTTCCAGTTGGGCATCATCTTGGAGACTCGGTGTCCTGCAAAATGGGGCAAGAAACAGTTGATGCACTTCTGAAGACTGGTGAGATGCAAGACTAGGCAGACATCTCAGTGCTCAGGAGGCCCAATCACTGAAGGCTCCTTGTTACTCCAGGAGAAGTTAAAGGGATCCAGCCATTGCAGAGTACACCCGGGAGGGTCCTAGGGAAGCTGGAGGATGGCAGAGGGGTATCCTGGGGTGCAGGAAGGAGGTGCCCTGGCCCAGTGCTCCTCTAGGGTTGCTGCTGGTTGGTTCTCACACACAGCAGGTGCCCAGAAAATACAAAGTGAGTGGATGAGGCAGGGTGCAGCGACCATGGTGCAGCTTGGAGGAGTCATGTTGGGGTGCTAGGCTGTGCTACAGGAGAGGGGACCTGGGAGAGGTGGAGGTGGGGAAGGGGCTGGTGAGGCAGGGCTGCTGGTGGGCATGGCAGGGTGGGAGTCACAAGGACCTGGGACACTTCCCAGCTCTTTGAGGAGAACTGAATGTGTGTTTCCTTCTAATTTTAACCAAAACCCACAACAACTATCCCACAAAGCCATTTGATACTAATTACACAGTAACTGGCTTTGAGGCACTGGCAGAGGTAAAAGCCCCAGAGCAGTCTGACAGGCTACCCAGAAGGACCCCGGAGAAGATGGGCAAGGTGAGGGGGACCCTCAGCTTCTGCCACCTCCCCACAGCTGTCCACCAAACAGGCTCCCAACAGGCCTGGCCTCCCCGAAGGGCTACAGTGACTCCCCACCAACACACACACCACTACTAGGGGCCTGAAGCATAAAGAGGGGGAATCCCAAACATGGGTCTCCAAGACTCTAGGAAATTAAGAATCACTGGCTTGGCACTCTGAATGGAGCTCTCCCCCCGCACCCCCACTGGGGGATCCAGAGGCTCCTCACAGCCAGCCTGATGGCTGCTTTGCTCTCCTGCCAAAGCCCACAGAGGCCCCAAGAGGCCCAAAAGAGGCCTCTTTGGATCTGGAGCTACCCGGCAGGGAGCACCTAGGCCTCGGGCTGCTTGCTCCTCCTCTCCTCTTGCACAGGGCCCTTTCTTGCCAGGTGGGAGTGTGCCCTTCGGCTCAAGACTGTGACTTGGATGGTGAGTGTGTCCTGGGATAGGTGAGCTGGGAATGCAGCCAGAGTGGGGGGGAGTGCAGCTATGACTCCAGGCAAGCCTGCCACCCCACGCCAAGCCTGTTTCCTCACTTGCAAAATGGGGAGAGGTGGCACCCAGTTCTCAGGGTTATTGTAGGGCTGGAATGACAAATGAAACCCTGGGCGCAGTGCTCAGGGAAGTGTCAGCTGCCGTGGGGACCCAGGGAGTTGCATTGTCAAAGGTAAAGGCTTCATCTCAGCTCACAGCCATCCCTTCAAGGGTGAGGGCCCATAAGGAAACTGAGGCAAAGAACTGGCAGGCGCCTTGCCCTGGGAGGATAGGCCAAGCCAAGGAGGGCAACAGCGGTGTTCTCTGGGGTCTGAGGCACAGTGGATGTAGAGGGTGTTTCTGAGACAGCATCCGGCACCCCCAATTCCTTCCTCCTCTGTTGTCTTTTCCCTCCTGTAACTTCCATCTCCCTGCGTGTTCCTCCTGCAGCTTCAAAGGAACGCCAAGTTCACACAGCTGGTGAAAGTGAAGGTCGCCTTTCCCAGACCCCTATCCTGAGCCACCTTCTGCTGAGCCTGTGTTAAGCTTAGAAAGGTTGGGGAGGCAGGTGGGAGCGGGGGTGGATCATCTAGACATCTTACAGGTGGGAAATCCCTTACCCCAGAGCCCCAGCTCTGACTCTGGGCTCTCAAAGTGCCCAGTGGGGCCCCCTGGGGACCCATGTGTTTTGCATGTGTCCGGTGCACGTGAGTGTGTGACGCTGGACTCAAACCCTGTACTGTGAGCATGCTGAGCCTGTGCCCTGAGCTCCACCCCAAGCCTCTATCTGCTTTTTCCTGTCTCTCCGCAGCCCTGGCTACGCAGTGACTCAGAGTGTATGGAGATAAGGCTTGAGGCTGCAGCTCGGGGCCCACACTGGCCTCCCAAGGTCTGGGGTGGGGGTGCTGGGAGGACTGTGAGGGTGGGTCTGGAGCGTGGGTGTCATATGGGTGCTGGCAGACACAGGCCTCTCCTGATGTGTACCTGGACACACTAGAGTGGCTTCACAGCCACTCCCCAGTGCCAGGTGTCGGGTCTGCACCTGCCTCTCCCTTACAGTATGATGGCTTGGGCCTATCTCTTGGCTCAGGAGTTTGGGGGAGACAGGGGTGCCCCCGGCTGGGGTGTGGGGCAGGGAGTGGGGGTGCTACCCTCCTGCCTTGCTATCGATCAGTGCACCAAGCACTGCTCACGTCAGCCATCCGCTGAACCCAGCACAATCCCTCATGTCTGCATTTAACTGCTAATGAAAAATAAATGTACTGTGACCAATAAGGGACATAGCTCACTTCTCCAGGGCCTCTGTCACGCTGCACTGGCGTGGGCTCCCCCAACCTCTGGGGGGGGCATTTATCAGGTGGCCCCAGGGGACACCCTCCAGCTTTGGCTGTGCCCTCTAACAAGGAGACTCTACGGCCACTGCCTGGGTGGTCAGAGCTGGCTTCCCTCCCTTGGGCCCTTGGAGTTCACTATATGACCATCTGCCTCCCATGTCCCAGTGTCCCAGTTAGGCCTGTGACAGGCCTAAGGCACAGCATGCATCTCGAGTCTCTCCCCGCCCATGCTGATGGTCACTACAGTGAGCATTCTTCCTCTCTTATTGAATCCTGCACTGGATTATCAAGGACAGCACCAAGCAGTGCACGCTCAGTGCAAAATGCAACAAGCACCAGAGCTCTCTAGTTTGCCAAAGTCCCCACCACTCCCTATTGCCTCTGGCTTCCAGGGGTGTTTCAGGGTGGGCTCAGAGCCTTTGGCTGGCATCCCTGAACAACCCTCCAGCACACCTCTATGTGAACTGCCCCTGATCCTTCCTGGGTTCTAGCTCCCACTTCTCATGTTCTTCTGTCTGAAACACCCAGAAAGACACTCATCCTGTCTCACTCTCTGCACCAAGGCCCATCCTCACAGGTGCTGCAGCTTTTACTGCAGGAGAAGCTGAGACTTCTGTTCCCCACATCTGACTGCCCTTCCTGGCCCCTACCACCTGGCTCAAGGCAGTTTAGTGCAGGTGCTCACAACTGGACACTAGAGTGGGGTGTCTACTGCTGCAGCCTCTGGGCAGCCAAAAGCCAGGCCCAAGGAGAACACTACCAGGGCGGGTACTGTGGCTGCAGGGCTGCCAGAGTAAGGGCAGGTGCGGTGCCTGTGAAGCCAGTGGGCACGAACCCACTCATTCCTCAGTTCCCAGAGGCTCCTCCCCACCACACACCCTGGGCCAGGCTTTCCTGTCCCCAGAACGCCATCCTGATGCCCCCTTGGAACTCAGTTTATTTCTTCGTTCATTTATTAATGGATTCCTGCAGGCTGCCAGGAACTGCAGACAGCTCAGGTCCTGAAGGAAGGATCCCATTTGCCATGAGCCCTGGGGCTGGCAGCCCTGCCCCACTACCTCAGTAGAAGTGGATGTAATACTGGAGCAGCCCCCATCCCACATCTCGGGGACATCGAGGGAAAGTAGTGTGCATGCACGTGTGTGTGTGTATGTAAGAGGGTGGTGGCCACAAACAGGAAAGAAAGCAGATGAGGTCCTGGGCTGGTAGCAAAAAGAGACCAGAGAGTCCTGGGTAAGGAGCCTCGCTAGAGCTGGGTATGGGGACCCGTACCACCAATGCTGTGACCTGAAATGTATGCATCTATCTGACACATCCTTACTGAGTGGCTGCTGTGTGCCAGGAACTGCTCTAGGCCTGTGATGCAGCCAGGAGCAGAGCAGACAGACCCGGCTCCACTCCTAGAAACCAGGGGAAATGCAGCCATCTCCCACACGAACGAGGGTGAAGAATGGAGGGGCAGGTTTCAGACAGGGCACAGTCAAGATGGCTCCCAAAGGCAGCAGGCTCAGGAGGGGACATCTGAGTGGCACCCCGAATGCCAGACCAGACTGAAAAGTGTTTTAGGAAAAGGGAACTGCGAAAGCCCTAAGGCAGGAAGCAGCTGGGCTTGTCTGACACCAGCCTGGCCAGAGCAGAGGGACCGAAGGTGACTCTGGAGTCAGAGAGGAGCAGGAGCATCTGTTCTGTCCCCTGAGCCTCCCTCCAGGGCACATGCCATATTCAGGACTAGGGTAGATTTGTTTGCACGAACTCCCATAGGTCAGAAGCTCATGTCTGGTTTTGGGTGGCATTGGAGTGTTTGCTGAGTGACTGAATAACCCCAGTTCTTCTCCAGTGAAATTCAGAAGAGCTGCCCAAGTGTGGCCGCCTCATTCTTGGTCTGTGGGAAGACATAGAGAGGATGGAGCAGCCCACAAGCAGAGTCCTGGGCAGGGACCAGGTCCCTCACTCCAGCTGCCCAGCCACACCCAGATGTGCTGCTATATGAGATTGAATGTCCCCTTGAGACCTGCCTGTGTAACTCAGAGGCCCAGGTGGGTGTGAACGTGCTTTCTAATGTTTTATTTTAAAAACCACCATGAAAACATGAGGTGTGATTAATCAAGCTATTAATGAAGTCGTATTTACTGTGTGAGCAGGGTGGGAGGCTGGGGGCAGGGTGTGACCTGGCCTCTGCGGTGGGGAGGTGGGCGCCCCTCCCCCAGTGCAGCCGCACTCAGCCACCCCCACCTGCCACCTGCTCCTTTCATCCTCCCAGCAGCCTCACCCGGGCACAGCAAGGGGCAGGCTGGCAGCCGCTTCTTCTACCTCCCTGAGCAACATTCTGGGTTTGACCCAGGCCAGAGGAGCAGCTGGGACCACAGCAGCCTCTTGTTTTCCACC